AAAAATAGAATGTGCCAGGGTGCACATCAAGATAGTGTTGCAAAGTGGTAGTTGATGCAGCCGCATTCACGTCTGAGTTTGGAACGTAGCGGTCTGTACGAAATATTTTACGAATGATACGGCGATGAAGAACTTGTAAAGCAATGTGAGTTCTTTGGAGCAGCCGATGACAAGCGGTTTTAACTTTTCACCAGTTGTGCTGGTGGCGAGCAGAGCCATTAGTCGGTCCTTCGCCTGCTTCCCACCTTTACAGGCATCCTTTTTCGACACCAAGGAATGGTTGGGGACGGCACGGAAGAAACGTCCAGTCCCGTCCGCATTGAATATGCTGGCTGGCTGGTATCCTTCGCGTGCGCGCGGAGGGCAGGCAATCATTGCAAACCTTGACTGTGCTCTGCAAGAGCGCAGCACCTTTACTACTGAGAACTGGGACCTGCGCTGTGAAACACACAGACAGTTTGATCTCTGATCGGTAATGAGACAGCTTCACTTGCAACGTGTAGACAGTCAATCACGAGAAGGAAATAATCATTTGGTGCGAAAGAAGAAAATAAAATAATTCACAGTCCTTCAGGGTGCGGCAGATCTGACCCACCATTCTTGGTGTGTGCGTCCGGGAGTATTTACTGCCATCATGTACAAACAGCTTTTGACCATTTCTTGTTGGACTCACAGTCTTGCAGGGTGCGGTAGATCTGATCCACCATGCTTGGTGTGTGCGTCCGGGAGTATTTACCGCCACCATATACAGGCAGCATTTGACCATTTCTTGTTGGACTCACAATCCTTCAGGGTGCGGTAGATCTACGTCTTCCCTACTTTCATCTTCTGTGGGATGTCCAGCACTTTCTCAAGGCTAAATATTGGGCCGGGGTAGCTACGGCAAGATGAATGATGAGCAGCACATATGCAGCTACCCAGGCCGACGGAGAATAGCGTATGATATGGGAAAGCGGGAACTTGATGCGTGTTCACTGGTCTAAGTATGATTCAAGGATCAGGGAGCGGGAACTATGCGTACGGTCTCATGGTTCATGCTGTTGCCGGGATACCTGGAAAGTCATGTGTGCGGGGGATACTGGAGTCATGTGTGCGGGGGATACTGGAGTGCTAGTAGAGAGGTTCAGTGATTCGTTGTCAACTCGTAAACGTAACGAGATCGATTTCGTTTTGTATTCGGCTCGTGCAGTGCCCAAAATAGGTTTAGTGACTCGTGCACAAGAAGACAGAGAGTCGCATCATGATTGCCATGGTAAATATGGTGGAGAGAAAATTTGAAAGCTTGGCACGCCAGTTGTCTTCCGCGCGGCCGTCTCGCACGACTTTTTCAGCTCGGTCCTTCGCTGCCCGGCTGGTGATGTCGCCCAGCTTCGGCTCCGACCGTGACAGGGCGTTGCCGATGTCCTGCCAAGCCTTATTCCCTTGCGGTAAGGCAAAAACGTGTTCATGTCCGGAGGACAAGATCAAGTTCAGCAAATTGATGTCATCTAAGACTGCAAATTTCCGAATTCTTCTGCATTCTACAGGAGTTGCTCCAGAGGGAGACACGGGGGTGGAGGGGGACGTTGGGGGAGCCTGCACTTCACTTGACATTGCGGAAAAAGGAAAGGAAAAATTCTTACCAAACACAACGAAAGTGAAAACGAAAGAATCGATAATCAACAAAGATAAAAAAAATTCAAAAAAGTCAAAAAGTTTTCACACTTTCTGGGGCAGATCGATCTCGGAGCTGCATACGAATCAGACAGGCCGGATTCGTAAAAACGAATCTTCTGAACGAGATGTCAACGAGACTCTAACCCGGACCGGGTGTCAGCACTCGTTTCGTTCATGAAAAACGAGTCACTGAACCTCTCTAGTTGCAGGGTGCACGCGGGGATACCGTGTACGGGAGTGGAGGCTTAAAACACTTGAAAGTTATGAACTGCCGGTACTGGAATCGTAGACGGTTGAACCTGGCTATCCTCTGAGCCCATTGCCTTCTGCTGTACATGTACATGTCTGTGTCTTGGTGTTGTACTCACTGTTCCCACTGCAGAGCGGCTGTAGTAAGTGGCCATTTTGACAAGAAGATCCGCTTCTGGGATATCAGGTATTTGAGAGGTTTTGACCCTGCCTGTTGCTGGTTTTGGTGCTTTGCGAAACAAACTCACTCACTGGCTGACGTATGTGCACTCTTGTGTGCGTGCCTTGAACCTTGAAACTGTCACCTACATGTCAAGGTGATGCCTCGTCTCAAAGAGGCAAGCTAGTTTGAGCCCCATCTTTCTTTTGTGTTGCATTAGATACTGGTGAAGTGTGAACTTCTGAGGACTGGTTGAGAATGGGGTTGTGGTGCTAGTGGACTCTCTCTCTCTCTCTCTCTCTCTCTCTCTCTCTCTCTCTCTCTCTCTCTATCTATCTATCTCTCTCTCTCTCTCTCGCGCTCTCTCTCTCTCCCGCTTATACAGCCGCAATGGCCCTAAAATCTGTACTCCAGAGCGGGAGGCATTCAATGTCACGAATAGAATGTGTTATGTATGTGTGTGTGCACATGTGTATGCAGTCATGTTTGTTTGTGTTTATTCATCCTTATTGTGTGTATCAGATCAGAGGCGAGTGCCAATGAGGTCTTACTTCAAGGTCGTGTAACATCCTTAGATCTCTCTCCTGGTGAGTTTTGCAACTTTTTGTTGCCAGTGTCCTATGCTATGTGGTCGGGTGTTTGTATTCGTAATGTTGAACAGAGGTGTAGACGAAAAGGCCTTCTAGAAACCAGACTACAGTATTGCCATCAGGACTCAAACCAGGACATTTATTAGAGTACTTCGAATTATATGCCAATGTTGTTGTTAGAGTAAGCTCTGGTCTATGGTGTAGTTGTTATCCGACCAAGATTCCCTCAACATTCTCTTTAGACTTGGATTGGAAGCACACACTACGTTTGACACTACTGAATTCTGATAATTTGACCAGCTGTGAAGGCAATATGCCGCTATCTCTTTTAGTGTTGCCCAAGACAGTCAGTTTCACTGAATACCACTACCTCTACTAGTATTGCGCTGACAGTCAGTTGCACTGTGCTGTGACAGCTGTATCAGTGGCTCTGCAAGCCTGCGTATTGTTATGTCGCTTCGAAGTAGGCTTTCGAATTCACCGTACTGTGCACTGCCATTCTGTATGACGGTGGAGTTTGAATCATGAAGCGGGCTCACCTTAAGTACTTCATTATACCACAGTGTGCATTTTTTAAAGTTTGGTTTGAAGTTCGTTTCAGCTGAATGGTCAGGAACGTTTTCCAGTTGTGCAGAAGATTTGAGTGATGCTGGTGGTGCTGCTGCTTGTGCTGTTGCTGTGTTACAGAAAAGACACTCCTTCTGAGCTGCTCAAGGGATGATATCTTGAAGGTGATAGATCTCAGGATGAACTCTGTTCTCCACTCACTGGGGTATGTGCTTTGACTGTTGATGTGCAGCATGCACTTGCTCTGATTGCTATGGCTGCTGAGACTGTAATACAGTGGCTGCAGTCTGCACAGCAAGAGTCCTGATTGCTGATAGTGCACAATACTATCGTAACCTCCGTACTAACCAAGTATTCCCCGATCCTTGCCGCATGCCATTGTGTACTGCAGTGTACTGTAGTGTAATGTGCGATGGATTCTCTAGTAGTATATTGCACACTAGCTTGCACATGGCAGTGTACATACATGTACACGTTATGTCACCCTGGTGCTGGAGGTTCCGTATCATCACAGGACACAGCCTGTACCCTGAATGCAGTCGCTTTGATCTTGTTCTCCGCTCTCGTTCTCATTTGATAGAGTTCCAGTTATTTACAACTGATTGAGTTTGTGATTGTGGTGGCTTTGTTGTTGTCGTTTTGTGTAGAGCGGACGGCTTTAAAGTAGCATCCGATTGTTCACGCTGCTGCTTCAGGTAAGACTTAGTCTCCGGTACTGAGCTATGTGTCTATATTGTAGCTAAGGTCTGATGCTTTCAATGCAAATACATGTACAGCATTAGATAAACCTTGTTTTGTTGACAGCATGTTGTTGGTTGACAGCATGTTTGGAACACAGTGATCTTACTACAACCTCAGTTGTTCAGATGGTCGTGAAGACCGGGGCTCTACCAACCGCGGAGGTTGTAGTAAGATCACGCACTGTTTATGAACATGGTGGTCTCCGCCTTGTTACATGCTGTCAACCAACAACATGTATAGCATTGTACGGGAGGGGAGGGGAGGGGGGGGGGCATCGCATGCCCAATTTTCAAGTACATGTTGCCAATGTCTGAATAGAGCAAGACATGGCATAAACTGCGGCCGTACTTCATGAAGTCCAATCACAAGCTACCACCCAGTACACCAGTACACCAGTGCACGGCAAGCAGTAGTCGCTGCTCTGGGGCTATGCTACACAGCGCTCAGCATTGGTTGACCCGTGCATTTGGATTCTGTTCCACTGCCCTGTACTATGGGGTACTAATAGTCGTCGCCAGAGCAGAGGAGTGAGCCACTCGAACAGTACACATTTCATGTACAGAGCAGAGGAGTGAGCCACTCGAACAGTACACATTTCATGTACAGAGCAGAGGAGTGAGCCACTCGAACAGTACACATTTCATGTACAGAGCAGAGGAGTGAGCCACTCGAACAGTACACATTTCATGTACAGAGCAGAGGAGTGAGCCACTCGAACAGTACACATTTCATGTACAGAGCAGAGGAGTGAGCCACTCGAACAGTACACATTTCATGTACAGAGCAGAGAAGTGAGTCACTCGAACAGTACACATTTCATGTACAAAGCAGCACAGTCTGCACCGGGTCAGGTCTATACTTCTTTCGTAATAATTTAGCACGGTGCAGCAGGCCTAGATGAGCGGCAGCCTGCATAAGTGCCAACTCACCGGACTCAATCGATCACACCAAGTAGAGCATAGCAGTGCCACCCTTTCGACGTATTGAACAGTACAGAACTAGTTGGTGCACATGCCGAATGCCGTATCCTCAACATGCTTCGACTACTGTGGAGTTCCACGTGCATGTGTGTACGTACTTGTACATTGTATGTTGAGCTGTGTGAACACTGAACAGCCTCTTCTGTCTGTAGCCGTGTCCTCTGGGTGATGTTCTCTTTCTTTCCTCCTCTATTCCCCCGGTATGCCTCTCTGTCTCTCTCTCTCTCTCTCTGTCTGTCTGTCTCTCTCTCTGTCTCTGTCGCTCTCCCTCTCTCTCTCCCTCTCCATACTCTTTCTCTGCAGTCCTGATGGCAAGTATGTTGCATGTGGCTCTCAAGATGGAAGTATATTTGTGTGGTCTTTGGCTAGCCAGAAGGTCGAGAAAGTTATCAAAGAACACAGGTAAGTAGAGCCTTTTTTTCTTCATGTATTCCATCTGCTGCTGCCTGTATTCACTGTCGTACTGTACCTTGCAAACCAAAATTTAAGCCGCAACAAAATTTAAGCCTCGAAGGCCTAGTTCGAAATAGCTGAAAAATTGAAAATTAGTGGTGAAACGAATGTCAAAACCTAGTAGCCGAATATTCTTTGGCTTAACGAACAAATGAACGAATATTCTTTTGGTAATACAGATGACATCACATGCCCTCCTCTCAGTCATTTGATGGACATTGTCATTATTATTAGGTATGACAAACAGCAGTGCCACATAAAATGCACTGTCACATAAGGCTACTTCGAAGTTCACACATGTTATGTGTAACATTGGCAGTCCAGTATGCACACACATGTGCAAAGATGCAGTACAAAGTCACAGGCAGGCTGTATGAACTGCACTGTACTGTGTTAGGCATGCATCTACATGTATGTACCAAATAGATATGCGCCGAACATTATGTTGAATTAGAGTATGTAATGGGTGGCTTGTCCATTGCTATCGATTCAGTCCAAATGTGCACCACTCAGAGCAGGATCTCGGTCAGTTCTCCGCCGAGTTCAAACATTCAAGTATGTGGATGATTGCCGAGAAGCTGGGCTTTCCAATGATGCAATCACTTTCGCGATACAAAGTTGTGAGCTGTTGCTATCGCGATCGCAGTTTCAGTCATGGCAATGTTTGCATTCAGAACGCACTTGCACAATCTATACCGGGGATTGATGGAGAATGCCGATGTTGGGGGCTTCGAATCAGGGGTGTAAGTGAATTGCCAAGGTACAGGTAGCCTTGCGAATAACAACCCTCGATGGTGCATGAGAAAAGTGTCGTTGTAAGTGTGCAGTCAAATGGTCGCTTGGTCTGAAGATTGTGTCGTTATTTGCGAGTTGGTATTCCCGAGGTCGACTGTACAGTGCATATTCATCACTTCTCTGCTCATGATGTCATTTTCTTTTGTTGCCCATTCTGTGCTTTTTGTTGCAATGTTTCTTTGACAGTGCGTCAGTTCTTACTGTAGCATGGCATCCAAGTGGTGACTTCATGGTGTCTGGCGAGAAGAACAAGAGATGTATTGTTTGGCGGGAGCGCTGCTGATTGCACTGCCGCACCAACACATCCACCGCGATGCTGTTGTGTGCACTCTCACGAGAGCCGCGCAAGCCGTCTCTTGGCGTACTAACAGACTTGTGACCAGTTATCTTTCCACGGATTCTAACCTATTCTTCAGTCTTGCAGCTGGCTGCGACTGTTTATCTCTTCACTGTTGTTGTTGTTGTAATAGTAGCTTGTAACGTCATCTTAGTTGTATGTTTGTTTGCTTACCATCCTATGACAGGTTTCCTCGGTTGAGGCACACGTGCCGTGCCACTGCTTTAAAACTATTTTCTCTGCCGTTCATACTTTGATTGCTTTTAGTATAACCCTGTGGCGTTTTCAATGTTGTGAGTACATGTCTGTACTTGCGTTTGTATCGCATTCTTTATCCGATTGAAGTGCTATGTCTTTTGATGGTTATTTGTTCAATGCGGCTGGTGCCTGTTCCATGGTAACCTTGATGTCTCTCGCTTAGTGCATTCATGTTCATGCTTTTTATTGTGATTAGGGCCTCTTTCATGAAGGTGATATATGATGCTGCTTTGCACTGCTACTGCTGCTGTCTTGACCGCTACTTGCTGCATTGTATCCTCACGCGCTATGACCTGCTCTCTGCTCTTCGGCCGTTCGGGTGTACTTCAAGTAGGTACACAAGTAGGCGCACGGCGTGTCTTTTAGTTCTATCCAGTCTCTTCACCTCTGCTGCTGCTTTAGGCAGATGACGACGGTGCCACCTTACTTTCTCTTGGTGGTGTCATTGTTGTTGTCATCGTCGTCGTCGTTGTTGTTGTTGTTGCCGCCATTGTTGGTACCGCCGCTGACCTCATCCCAGGTGTTACCTATTCTTTTACTTTTTATTATTGTTATTCCATATCCTATTCAAGATCTATTTTCGTCTCTCTACTCTCCACTCACTATTCTATTGTTAGATCTTGGTTCCCGTTTGGTGTGCCTGTGTAACCAGGGTAACCGTGACGGTTGTGTTGACCATGTTACCAGTTTGGCTCTTGCGTTCCTCGATCACTGGAGTTTTGTGAAATTGGAAAGGCAAGAACACGAACCATGGTCAGCCATAGGGTTGGAAGTATTTCGTGCAGACATTGCATTGCAATGAGTTCATTGTCATGTCGGTCAGTTGTTGCCCGGGTTATTTTTTAAACACTTCTCCCTGGCTGCAGCTTCAACTAACTTGCTGAATTATTTTTGTCTGGAAATGGCATAGCCGCATAGGCTATCATAACCAGGGAGTCGTGAAATACGTATTGCACGACTCCCTGATCATAACCATAAGCAATCATAACTCTTGCCATAACCTGATAACTGGCATATTATGTAATAATTATTAGTTACTTGTCACTGGCAAGGGACGCACAACAGATGACTTACAAACTCGCCATCGGCGAACAGTCGTTTACTAAAACAAATCCTGCTGCGAATATTTTTTTGCGTTGCCAAAATAAAAATTCAAAATTGTCTTCGCTCAGCAAAATACATCTTTCAAATATCTTACAAACAAGATTAACTCTCAGCTGTGACCTTGTTAGACGGTGTGTCCATTGAGTCTTGTCAATACTGTGCATTTCATGCATCGACCAATCTCCAGCCTTTTTGTCTCTTCAATTGTGAATTCGAAATATACTAGTGTTGCACTGGGGATCTGAGCTTGCTGGTATCATGGCAGTGCTCTTGGAGACCTCTGTTGGGGACATCGTGGTGGACTTAATGCTGGAGGAGCGACCCAAAGGTATACGCTTCTTGCTTCTTCACTTTCATGTTGCTTTCCAGCAAACGGATGCTATTCACTAATGTGATCATCAAGGCTGAAGCCCCAGTCCAGTATTTATTTGGGGTGGGTGGGTGGTGGTGGAGCCAGAGGACGTACATCTAAGCTATGCTCTAACCAATGTACACACGCACGCATGCACACACACACACACTTTCACACACACACACACACACACACACACACACACACACACACACACACACACACACACACACACACTTTCACACACACACACACTTTCACACACACTTTCACACACACACACACACACACACACACACACACACACACACACACACAATACAATACTATACAATATTGCCCATCCGGAGGTGATGGCAGGTCCTGAAAGGCCCGACAGTGTTTCAGTCACGGGGAACAGAACGAGTGGCGAGTGAGGTCCTGGCGACGGCGAAAATCTCGGCCGCAGTGGCACCTGAAATCCCGAGGCACAAGTTTAGGCGGCTGGATGGTGTTGCAGGCCAGTCTCCATGCACGACGGTCCTCGGCTAGGCTGTACCAGTCATTGATGTGGCGTTCCTCTAGGTCAATCACGATGTTGTCACGCCAGCGCTTGCGTGGCCCGTGGCGAGGGCGCGTCTTCTGGAGCTCACCAAACAATACGCACTTCGGTATTCTGTCGTCCGACATGTGTCCGACATGCCCCAGCCAGCGAAGTCCTCAGCATCTCCACCATTGATCGCCCCGCGACTGAAACACTGCCCAGGGGCGTCGGACACGGTACGGTCACTACGGTATTGACCGTACCACTTTTTTTCCCCAGGTACCCTGTGAATCAATAAAATACACTGATCTGGGATCTAAATTTCCAAAACTTTCGGCTCAGCCACCACTCCCCCACGAGTGAAATGTGCTTCAGATGGCTGACCGTACCACACTAAAATACCGTCCGACGCCCCTGCTGCCACTACAAAAAAGATGTGCTCACGCGGTTTGCTTGCAAGGCAAACGAGCGAGGCCTTGGGGGACCCTTTCCTTGTCTTCTCCACACGGAAAGGGCCCCAGAACGGCGGGGGAGATCTTGGGAGTAGAGCTCAAGAAAACACAACTGTCTCCTACAGACACTACTACACCCCCCACCACCACCACACACACACACACACACCTTTCGCCAGGAACTTAACAATTTCATTCATCTTGGGCACCCTGTAAGAAGACCTTAGGGTCTGTTGGGAATGCCCAAGTAAAATAATAAAATACAATACAATACCTATGATACAGCTGCTGCTACTACGATGTATCGCTACGCCACCCTCCACCTCTTAGACTTAGAGGGTCAGTGCTAGTGAAAAATACTTTGAGCGCGCCGAAAGCAGTGATGCGATGCATCCTGTGGCACTAATACCAGCACCTGTATTGTGTGCGCCTGCCTGTGCATCGCTTTTCTTTTCTGTAGCTTGTTTGAATTTCCTGAAGCTGTGCAAGATGAAGTATTACAACTACTGTCTTTTCCACACTGTCAAGGTAAGTGCACTGCATGCACTCCATACTACAGTTGCGCTTGGTGAAACCCGACCAGATGTGCATGTTTGGCGCCCTCAACTTGCACGGCTCTTGGCCCCCTGGACACAGTACGAATGCGGCTGCATGTACACTTGTACCATTGCCGTGATGTCATCGGAACTGGTGCAGGGTGCCAGTTTTGCACTTTGGGTCAGATTTCACTGAGCGCAACCATACATGTAATTGCCTATCATAAGCATTCACCACTGGTATCGTTGATGCTACTAGCTACTAGTATTCCAGCGGACTGATTGCCAGGGGCTACACACCCTGGATAAATGATTCTCTCATCCACGTGGTGTTTGCGTTTCAATATGCGTTTCCCGTTCGAAGTTTTCTATTGGCACTAGATTGCTGGTGACCACCAGGCTGGTAGCCTCATACAATCGGTCACCTGTAGCAGGTGTTGACAATTGAACTCTGTGCATGTGTGTGTTTGTGTGTTTGTATGTGTGTGTGTGTGTGTCTGTCTGTCTGTCTGTCTGTCTGTCTCTGTGTCTGTCTGTCTGTCTGTGCCTGTGTGCATGTGTCTTTATGTGTCTGTGTGCATGTGTCTGTTTGTGTGTGTGCTCGTGTGCGTATCTGCATGTGTGCACGTCCGTGTGTGCATGTGTGCTTCCATGGATTTGGGCATACGTGTGTATCATCTCTTGCTGCCCTGCGGCTTGTTAGGCAAACTTTGTGGCACAGGCCGGTGATCCCAGTAATACGGGAGATGGAGGGACCAGCATTTGGGGGTAAGATTTCAACACACTAACATGAGTTCCATTGCCATTGGTGTCAGTCTGACTGGAGGCTTTGCGTAGTGTTGAATATCGGAATTCCTGATCATTTGTCTTGACTGCTTAAGGAGAATGCCTGGTGTCTGCAAACATGTCACTGATTGCCGCACTCTCCTCTTGTGGATCCTCCTGTGTGTACTGTATTGTGTGTGTACTGTCTGTATTGTGTGTGTACTGTCTGTATTGTGTGTGTACTGTATTGTGTGTCTACTGCATTGTGTAAACTGTATTGTGTGTGTAATGTATTGTGTATATTACATTCAGTTTGCGTGATGGTGACAGTCAGCGGTTTTTCGCCGCTGAGAAGACACCGCGTATCAAGCACACTAATATCGGCTGCTTGTCCATGGTCAACGACGGCAATGGCCGACACTCCTCGCAGGTCAGTTGCAACTTGCAGGTGTCTGTGTTGAAATGCAGTGCAGTGTTGCAAGCTGGTTTCCAGCAGTGATTTATGCATATACTCTGTGTGTGGTGATGTTTGAATGCCCTGTCCTCTGCTGGGTATGGTCTAGATATATCTCAGCACGTCGTATGGGATACTGTTCTGTTCGTGAACTCTCGTCTAAAGTGTCGGTATTGACGGCGTAGTCATAGCATCTAGGGGACACCACAAGATTATAGTATGCCGAACCATGTGCAGTTCGATCCAGATTTGGAAGTTCTACGTGATCCAATGTCTCCGCAAGTTGCGATCACGGACTTGACCTACTGACCCCGAAACGCGGTCCAAACTAGCGATGCCATCTGTAAGGGCGCCTAAATCAGCCCCACTCCAAGGACTACTGGACTAGACAGCCCGGGAGCAAAACCCACATCGTTTCACGTTGCAGATACCCGTGTTGTCTCCCTGGATGCTTAACTTCCCTGACCCTGGTATTGGAGTATGCGCAAGATGAGTTGTATTGTTGCTGCTGCTGCTGCATGTGTGTTACAGTGGTTCATTAGCCTGGGTGCTGAGCTAGACTACCTGGATGCTCAGGAGCACACTGTCTTTGGAGCGGTGTCGGAGGGGATGGACGCACTGCAGAAGCTGAACGAGGCGTACTGTGACAAGGAGGGAAGACCGTACCGGGATATTAGGTAAGCTGGCGTAGGACCTATGTGTACGTGTGTTAGCAAATTATCTCTCCTACGCGGGCGATCTGGGACCAGGCACTGCCCGTAACTGTCTGTAACTCTGAACCACGTACGTTTTAATTGGGTAGAGCCAGAGATCCGGTATATGACACCACTATTTCCACTAATATTGGCGAAAGAGTAGTAATAATTCCACTAAACCTTGTCCACGGGGTGCCCGGTAGACTGAGGTGGCTGTAACTTGGAGGTCCGAATAAGGGAGGTACGAGTGTGCACTGTATAATATGTATGTATTGGTACAAAGGGAAGGTTTTGCTTCAAGCCACTTCCAAGCCCGCTTTATCTTCCATTGCTACAAGAACAGTCATTGGTTTTCAGGTGGCATTTTGTTGATTTCATTCCAGACTATCCCGGTGCTATGCTCGGTTTACTTTGAAATCCATGTACATTTGTATGGGGAAAGTCTGGTCGTATTACTGTGCTGGTTTTTAACATGCAGTATGTGTCGGTAGTAGTTGCTGCTATTGCCATGTGTGTGTCACTAGTGTTCTGGGTGACTTCTATCATTCCTTACGGCTTTACATTTACTTGCACCGTTTGTGTGTGTGTGTGCGTGCGTGTGTGCATGCATGCGTGTGTGTGCTTGTGACCTGCTCTGGGACCCTTGCCTTTGCTACTGGATGACGTGGCCTTTCTTTCCTGTCCATTCTTGATTTCCTTTGTGCTTTTCATTTGTGTTCTGTTTACCTGCTGACAGGATAAACCACACGGTTGTTCTGGATGACCCGTATCCAGACCTGGATGGCCTGCACATTCCGTCACGGTCACCGTCTCCTTCAGCAGAACAGCTCAAGGTACAGTAAAACCTGGTTTAAGCGACCACCCCACGGTGCAAGCAAAAGCGGTCGTTAAAGCCAGGTCTTTAGAAACAGGTCCCACCGTGTCTGTGTAGAACTGTCGGTGCATGGAAAAACAGCCGTTAAGAGCATGTGGTCCCTAAACCCAGAGGTCCCTAAACCCAGAGGTCGCTTACACCAGGTTTTACTGTACTTACTTGATCTTTTAGCTTTACCAACACGTGATGGCATGACCTTACTATCTGACACTGTACGTTGTATGGCGTCCATTCTTCAGATTGGGGGCAGAGGCAGGCGTTTGATTGGGTTTTGCTTGAAATGCTGATGGTTACCTACAATTGTTGTATGATACTGCCTGAAGGTGAAATTGTTATGTCCGTCAGCCCTCTCCCCGCTCACTACAATTAATTTTTTAAAGATCATTTCCATACCTCTGTACACATTGTGTTACATGACCCAAACTGAGAATAGCTGTATACCATTTTTTCAACACCCCTCTACCCCGTGCTTATATTGGAGACCGCGCTTATATTGGAGACCGTGCTTATATTTTTTCAACCAATACATCCATACAGAGCAAGAAGAAATACATGCTAGATATCATGCATGCAGCATTGATTCCACCAAGACCGTGCTAATAATAGAGACTGTGCTTATAATGTTTCGAAGGGTGCTCACAGTGTGCTAGTATTAGAGACTGTGCTAGTAATGGAGACCTGTGCTTATAATAGAGAATATACGGTACGTGCATGCTGTTGTGTTGTACATGTACCTGTGCAGAGTAGTCGTATCGGTGCAGATGAAGACCTCGATGATAACCAGGGCCTGACGGCGGAGGAAATCGAGGAGAAGATTGCCGAGCAGGAGACGGCTGCGCACACGACTGTGTTGGAGATGGTGAGACTTGTCCCATGTTGCTGTTGCTGTTGCTGTTGCAGTTGCAGTTGCTCTCTCAAGTCATGCCAGCCTGGCTGCACGGCACACCAATGCTTTGGAAAATATCTGTACAGTTGCGCTCGCTGGAATCTGACCCAAAGTGCAAAGCTTGCGCCCTGGACCAATTCCAATTACATCATTGCATTTGACTATTTGTACATTTAGCCACATTCGTGCCACCTCCAGGGCGTCAAGGGCCGTGCAAGTTGAGGACAGCAATATGCACTCTTGGTGGGATTTCAGCGAGCACAACTGTATTTACAACTGCCTTACAGTGTAATTCATTGTTGTTGTTCAATTTCTTTTTTGCTTGTATTCCACCTGATGCGAAGGTATTGAAAGTACTATATTTTGTAGTGGAAAACGTTTTTGAAAAATGTTGATTGCAAGGAGCTTGAAACTTATTCTTTTCGTGAGTGCGATTGCATTATTTTTGTCTTCAAGTAATACTACCGTATTGTATTTGAAGTACTTTTGAAAAGGTTTGGCTGCCTGTGGTGGTATTAAGTAAGCATAGATACTCCTTTGGTTTTGTACAAGCTATGTATTTTGATTTTATGGTTATATTCTTGTACTCTTGTAGGTTGGGGACATCCCGGATGCCGATGCCAAGCCACCCGACAACGTTCTGTTTGTTTGCAAGCTGAATGCCGCCACAACGTCTGAAGATCTCGAGACCATTTTCTCTCGGTTTGGCACGATTCTCAGGTACAAGGAAGAGGGTTCCTGCATGTGTGCAGGTGTGTGCGCGCACGTGTGTGTGTGTGTGTTTGTGCGTCAATGGGCTACTTCTCTGCGTGCGTGCGTGCGTGCGTGCGTGTGTGTGTGTGTGTGTGGTGTCTTTGTTCCCGTAGTCAGCTTAGACAACATAGCTTGCAATTGAGACACATGTACGTGTGTTGGTGTAATGACTTTATCTTGAGGCAAAGCAATCACGTATGCTTTGATCATGTGACTATCACGGTGTCATTACTCTCCGCAGTTTGACTCACCGTTACTGATTCTCTGCATCTTGGTTTGTCTTCGTAAATAGTTTCATTTTTTTGACTGTCTTATGCAGCTGTGAGGTGATTCGAGACAAGAAATCTGGCGAATCTTTGCAGTACGCTTTCGTCGAGTTTGAGCGTGTGAGTACTTTTTGTACAGGCATGCGGCCAGAATGTCACGTCACTGTTCTGTTGACTTTCCGTACAGTCTATGTTGGACTGTGTTGGCCATTGAAAGAGACCGTGTGCACCATGCTATTGTGATTTCATCTGTACATATTTTCTAGGTGAAGCGGCTGCTTTCGGGAGAATTGTGATGCTTTGCAGATCTACAAAACCATGCAACGCCCATTTCGTCCTACCGGGTTCTACGGATTATGTCCACACTTTATGATTGTGTACCCGGTCTAAATTATAGACACTGCACTGGTTAGACACCAGTATATGGTGTGTGCCCTGCCCCTGGGTTATCCTATCACTGGCTGCTCATGGTTGCTCTCCACTCTGCTGTGTTCACTGCTCTCTCATGCAGCCCGAAGACTGTGAAGATGCCTACTTCAAGATGGACAACGTGCTTATCGATGAGCGACGTATCCATGTTGACTTCAGCCAGTCTGTTGCGAAGGTCAAGGGTGGAGTGAACTCATGTAAGTGATTAGCTCTGCCCACTGGTGTGCATCACAGGGTAATTTTCAAAACCATCTAAGATAATCTTCAAATCTTCATTCCTCCCATAATGACTTTGGCTCCAATCAGCGACTGTGTTTGCTATAGGTAAAATCTGATCCAGTCTCTGACCAAGACCTGAGCATGCTTCAACCTCCGTGGATACTGTTGCCCTGCACACTGCACACCACACGTCTCTGGCACTGAACATGCTCTAGCAGTTCACTACACACGTGAACTTCCTGCAGGTTTACTCTAGAAGGAGCTCACTGATCTGAACGATCCGCTTTTTATTTCTCGATTCACATGCCACAATTTGAGTCTGATTTTTGATTTTCTTGTACTTGGGCCTTACTTTGTTCAGTAACGGCCGGAAAGAACAAACCCGAATTCAAGCTGAAGAACCGTGACAGGCGTGGCAATGATAAGTGAGTATGATGACACCGCGGCTTGTTTGTGATCATAGCTGCTTTGAATGCCTAGATCAGTCGAGCCTTGTCAAGTAGTCTGCCTCGGGCTGCCTGGCTTGAAGCACATCGTACCGACGTTTGCTTTGCACATTGACATCCTTTGCCGTGTTCAAAGCATGTTTATGAATCTACCAGCCACATTACATACAAACTTTGGAGTGATACGTGCAACTGCAACCTATTCGCGTACATGTATCTGCTGTATCCAGCATTCAGTGTTACTTGAAGTAGGAGTTTTTAGGCTTGGTAACCTGGTTGGTTTGGTTATCCCTGTTGGTCTTCTTATTTGTCCTCATCGCCTGCCATTGTCGTTATTGTTGCTGTTTTCGTCATCGCCATGGTCGTCTTTCTGGATCTTCAACAGATATAAGATGGTGTTTGATGATCTGGACACTGCTGCTTTGGTGGCAGAGGACCTTTCTTCAGCCAAGCAGTCACGCAAGTCACACAAGGTGAGCCTTTTGGATTGGTGTTGTCTCCATCATAAACTCATGGTTTTGGACTTCTTAACCCTTTACCATCCGACCTAAAATATGCAGGGAGCGACCGCCCGGCACCAGCCGGTCATAACTTATCGATTCAAGTACGCACGGATGGTAAAGGGTTAAGTACTAGCTAGTATTGTCATTTTTATGATGCAATGCTCCTTGCACGAGTGATTTACAATGTTTGTAATGGGTATCAATACATCACATGTGTTTCCTTGCGCTAATTTATACAAGATCAAATGGATCGCATGGGGATTTGTCCACTGCAGGTCCAGAATACGTCTGATAATACGTGTACACCGCGCGGAGCATCATTAAAAAATTGACGTCAACTTGAAATTCTGTCGGGACAGCACTGATAGTGAAGTTGCACACTCTTGGAGGTTGTGTACTCTTGGTTCACACACTGATCCGCAAGCCCATATCTGTTTGAGCTGTCGTATTGGGTAATGACCTGAACAGATATTGGAGCTTCTGTATCCTGAACGTGGCAAGTCTACACAGGGTGGGGGAGATAGCATATTTTGATGTGCTCCTGGGATCTGTAGCATGTTGAAATGCTGACTAACCGTGCCTCCATGCTTTTCTTCTATCTCGCACCCTTGTTACAGAAACACGATCACAGTGAAGGTGATAGCAGGAAGTCCAGCCGCTGGGACAGCAAAGACCGCCATCGATCCAGATCTCCGCACGATGCCAAGAACGAATCAAGACATCACCGAGCTGAGGAGGACCGTCACCATCGAGCGCCTGGCAGCAGTAGCAGTCACTCAGCAAGCAGCAGTGGCAGATCAGAGCGACAGCGCGATGACACCAGTCGACATCGTCACTCTGACAAGGACTATGATCGACACAGATCACGTGACGGCGAAGATCACCACGGTGATTCCCATCGTCACCGTGGTAGCGACGACCGCGATCACCATCGGCATGGAAACAGCAGCCATTCTCGAGATGAGAGGTATCGTGATCGAGGCGCCGACTCTCACCGTCGACACAGATGAACACAGTCTGAGCCATTGCTCCCCTAGGCTGTTTTTTTTTAGCGTTTCTCTCGAGAATGTGTGCAAGCACATTGACACACACACACACACTTGTCTTCTCAGAAGGGTGCATGGATCCTTTTGGTACGCTGAGGCTGAGATGATGGCGTCTTTGAAAAAGCCCTGCGCCGTTGACCGACGAATTCTGAAAGACCCCAACCACTATGCATCATATTGCTATGACCGTAGACACTGAAGACTTCCTTTCGCCGAAGGATGTCCCTAGCTCTTGAACAGACTCTGAATGGCCAGTCGGTGTGAATTGGTGGACATGTGTCAGGATTCGCCTTTACCTGGAGGATCTGATTGTGTGCTATGAACTCGTACTGTAGCATGGTGCGCGGTGTGCCTGCTGGCTGGAAGTGAGCAGGTTACTTAGTATTGGTGTTGAGCAAATGCCAGCGATTGTCTGGGATATTGGCACTGCTGGTGTGCATTGTGCATGCTGCCGCTCTGGAGACCTGCAAGTGTGCACTGGCCACCAGTCACTGCATGCCCGTACCAACATGCGTCCCCGTTCTATGTGGACTGACTTGGTGGAACATGCTCATGTGCAGTTCAGGCTAGGCATTCTCACGCCGCATGCTTAAAACAACTCCGAGCGAATGTCCTTTCGATAGCGCTGCCGCTATCTCCAAAACACTGCGCTGACTGTGCTAGCCCGCAGCATTGGGTGTGAATACCCTGTGTACAGGTTATTACCTGCTGCAGCCTGCTACCTACAGGTATGTGTGCGTGTGTGCATGCATGCGTGTGCGGATGCACTTGTACTATAGCCTAGGGTGCCTTCATGGATTGTACATGGATATTGATTCACTCAGAGTGGTGATCTCACCACAACTCTCAACTTACTATAATTATTTTGAGCTATCACATATTTCAGGTCATGCAGCAGCCATTGGACTCGCTGGGAACGTGTGATGCTAAAGTCAATAGCTACTTCTTGATTGTTACCTTTTTGTGTTTTCTTTTGGTTATTGCCTGGCAATGCACCACACTGAACTCCTTCGCACCGTATACCTATGTACTTGTAGCTGTCAGGGAGTAGCAATGGGTATTCACTATTCAATGTTTTCAAAGTTGACAGCAGGGTATTCTTGTGCTCCCTGGGGGCTGTGTTTGTACAGTAATGATCATGTCACTACAATCATTATCTGTGCAATTTAGCTGCTTGTACCTAATGATTGCTATGTCTGCTGGCAGAAAAACTGTGAAACACGGCTTTTTTCTGCAAGAAAAAGCGGTGGTTGAGGGAATTGTGTGTCATTACATGTATAATGGTGGTGTGTATGCCGGACTTCTAATGCTCCTGGATACAAACAACTGAAACATCTGAAACAAATAGCCGTGGTTGGCTATAAAAACCCTGCAATCGCCACGCAAAGTGGTCATTGGCTACCCCAGCCATGTATTGCTTGGAATAAAATAAATAATACATAAATGGTGTGTTTGTGTCTGCGTTCATGCATTTCTGTGTGCATTTGGATGTGTTTGTGTGTGTGTGTGTGGGGGGGGGGTGCACGCGTGCATGTGGGTTTGTGTGTGTGCGTGGTGTGTGTGTGTGTGTGTGCGTGGTGTGTGTGTGTGTGTCAGTGTGCATATGTGTGCACTGCTGCCTAGACCAGTGTGGGCATGCCTGCCATCGACTACATACATGTGCTGCCTGTCGATGTTCAGCCAGTTATCATGGTTATTGGTACCTGGGGTGTTCGCAGCTAGCTGCTGGCAGTGCTGCGACACTTGGAATGGGAAACCTCTGCATGCAGGGCATTTCATGGCATGCTTTTCTTTACGGTTCACAAAGCAGGGAGTCGTCAAGGACTGATACTACAGTACAGTACATTCAGAAAAAGATGAGCGCTGGCTCTGGTGAGCTCCCGTATTTGGGGTTTTTTCCCTCCCGTATTTGGTGATTTTGTCGGACACGGTGCGGTGCCACCAGTTTTGAAATTTTAAAAAGGTCCAAAAAAGGTACCTACCTCAACTGGGGAGTCTGGGGTTCGAACCGCACAATCTTTGAATGACTTTACTGTTATGCAAATGGGGCATGATGAACGGCCTGGATTTTCATGGTTTTTCCCCGATTCAGTGCTTTGGGGACAAAACCTGGTCGAAAATCGCCTAGAATAGATCCCTGCCCGAAATCCTATTCTCGTTATTTTTGGATGAATCACGATGATGTCACGGCATCTTTACGTCTTCTACAAAAAAAAAAGTTCTACTCTTTTGGCCCCAAGGATCTAGGACTCGGCAAGGAGTCGTACAAATACGACTCCCTGCGCCTGCAGTGTCTGCACTGTGTCTGTGTCTGTGATCACTGATGTGTGGTGAGTGTCAGTGTGCTGATCGCGAATCGCTAGCTGGTGTAGTCAGTAGTCTATCCAGTTGCTTGTTGCTCTGTTGGCGTTTTGCCGGAGTCGTGTAGTCTATATTGTTGAACTCAGGAGGATCAAGGAGACAAAGTACACTCGAGGTAGCCACTTCATCTCTCTGCGATATGTAGCCATGGTAGCTGGCCTGTCCTGTTTACACTGCTCTCGTTGGAAAATCTGTTGTAGTCTTTCTTTCTTCTCTGCTGAACACCTTTGCTGTGTCGATCGAGTATCTGACTTCTTGGCTCATCGTTTACATCACTGCCACTCTGAAGTTTCGAGCATCTAGTGGAGGGATTCAGTTTCTGCTAGCTGCTTTCTGATGCGCGCAGAGTTGAGACGAGCATATTACTTCAGCCATGGCTGACGTAGCCGCGCGTCCATTACTGGTACTTGTCGGTGCGTTGGTTTTGTCCGTAGCAAATGCTGATATAGTTTTGGTGAGTAACGAAATGTACATTTTGACCAGTTTTTTTAATGATTGTTCCATCAAAAGTCCTGTGTTACTGAATATTTGGGCTGCGCTCAGTCTTTATGGGAGTTTCATTGTTACATACGTGCACTACGATAGCATTAGTGTTGCATGAATATCGACTTCCGACCCAATGTCTTATTTCCCGTGTGTAGCAGGTTCTCTAATGTGAATATTTTGAAAAATTGCGCAAGTGTGACCTGTCATTATTATGTATGCACACTTTTGTCTTGTACGTGTACATGTAGCAGGCCTGGATCATGTGCGTACTGTAACTCTAGGTCATAGTAGGGTGGGGTACTGCTCAGTATTTCAGTGAGTCAGCCACGTCAGCCACATGGAACTACAATAATATGTACATGTAGAACAACATTCTTCAAATCTGTACAAAACCCATTGCTTATGATTTGATTGACTTCATGAACTCTAGCCTAGGCCATTACAGTGCTGTACAGTAGGATGTGCAGCATGTATCATACTCTTAGTGGCACCAACATACACTATGATAGCCCAAGTGTCTGGATACCGTATGGGAATGATTCGCAACACATGCACGTGGTTTTCTTCATTTTATAATGAGATTAGTGCATCATTCCATCCTATATGAAAGAGAGAGGTTGGGGCCGCTTTAGTAATCCTAACCCTATTCATAGATGAGTCTTGATGCTAAATAGTTGGTGGTGAAGACTTGAGCAGGTGTCACTATCATCGTACATACTGTAACCTCCAAGAGTGTGCAACTGCAGCTATGGGGTCTGCGACGGCAGAACTTCACATCACGTGACAGGCCCGTATGCACCATTGACACCCTGTGCACGGCAAATGCAGGGTTGTATTCAACTCGCCCCTGATCGTTCATCCATTTTCGCTCTCTTGGGGGTTATACTCTCTTGCGAATACTAAGGCAACTACACTTATATCAGTCCGGGACCGGGCACTGGCCATAGCTTTGAAATGTCCCAAGTGTGAATCACTTCAGACAAAATTTTGTTTTTGAAAATGCTCGAGATGATGAATACGTTTCAATAGGGGAAAGGCCAGAGGTTTGGCATATCACATCAGTATTTCCACAAAAAAATGGAAAAAGAGTGGTAATAGTATATCCACTAACATCCGCAGGGTGCCCGGTAGACCGAGGTGCCCATACTGGTAACGCCGAGGTCCGGAGAGGAGAGATATGAGTGTAAAGCCATCCTGCTACACGTGTCTGTGAAGCCTAGCCTAGCCATTGTGTCATTTCTCACAACCAACAATGAAAATCAGTTGCATCCTGTTGACAGTAGTACGGGGAGATGACACGATTTCTTGTGAGGTTTAATATAGGGTGATGTGAGCTCGAGATGATCCGGCTAGTCTGTGTCACCGTTCGGGCAGGAAAAACCGAAACGTCAGTCCATTGTGTTGTGTCAGATGGTGGTGGTCGAAGGAGGCAGTGATACGCCATTCTTTATTTATTCCCATTTGAATTTGTGCACTTGATCCACTCACCTTGCCTACAGGGCATGCACAGCGATTCGGCAACGTAGTGGTGACGGTTGGGATGGGATTCAAATTCACGGACTAGCTACAAGCTCTTTTGTGACATATGTTACTTCCTGTGTGCATTGGATTTGATTTTTGCAGAGAGACGTATTGAACAATGCCACACAAGGCTTCGATTCAGCTCCGGCGAATTTCGGTGCTTTTGAGCCAGATGTAAGTGGCCTGGCCGAGCCGGCGCACATGTTTCTTCCTGTCCTACTTTTGAATATGTACAATGGCTGTCTTCTGAGCTGTTGGTGTAGTTACTCCCTGGTGTTTTACATGTTTGTATGGTTGAAACTTGCCTGTTACTGAATATTTGTTGGCACAATTGCGTGATATTGGTTTCCAGCAAAACACAAACTACACTTGTCCAACAGTTGGGTGAGGGAAGAAAACACAAATCGAAAATTTTTTTGGTATGCAGTAAATCAATTCCAGTTGATCTACTGATTGATACGTCTCACTGTGCTTTGTTCTGTACAAACTGATATCCATTAACACCTACTATACTGTTGCTGCTTCCGGTGCTCTGGCTGTTCCTGTTCGTGCTGCTTCTGTTTTTTCTGCTACTGCTGCTTCTCGTGGTTGTGGTGGTGCTGCTGCTGCTGTTGCTTGTGTGTGTCATGCTTCAGATGAAAGGTGCTGGTCTTGTGGAGGTATTTCCACAAACCGCATGTCATTGGAATATCACCCGGCCTCCAGCAACTGAAACAAATAAAACCTTTATTGCAATCGTATCCCGTGGAGATTGCGCGTTTGTTGTAAAGGTGAGCACAGCCCTGACAGTATTATCTGCCTGTCCTGAGCTGAAGAAGGAAAACTACTTGGAGGCGCATTTAATTTTCAAGCTATGTTGATTGTTTGAAGTCTTTTGAGTTTTGACGATTCGTGTTTGTGTGTGCGTATGTGTGTGTGCGTGTGTGTGCACTGTACTGTCGTTCCTATGTGCTTCCCTTTCAGGTGATACATGCTCAGCGTGCTGGTTATGTTGGTGTGGTCGTTGTCAACTATAAGAGCCAGGAACTTCTGGTCATGGGTGGTGCTGACAGTAAGAGTTCTCACATTCATCTCAAATGAATTCTCTTCTGCTATTTAGAATCATATTGTTTGAAGGCGGGAACTATGGATGTGCTTCACTGTGTGTATGTCCATCCTCTGTGTGAATTGTATGCATTCTTTTATCCTCTATAGTGATATCCATGTGTGCTGCCATGTTGTGAATTTACCAGTAGAAAGTTACCATTGCTGGATGTAGTACTGTAGGCATGTGTACAACCAGGGCCTTGTCTGTGCGTGTCTGTGTCTGTGTGTCTATCTCTGTGTGTCTATCTCCAGGTGAAATAACTATTCCATCTGTGTTGACTACATATGTAAGTACCTGCACTTGCCCAACCTGCTGCCAGTGAGAGTGATTTTGTCGGGGTTGTGAGAGTGACTTTGTCAGAGATGTGAGAGTGACTTTGTCAGAGATATGAGAGTGACTTTGTGAGAATGATGTTGTCAGAGATGTGAGAGTGACTTTGTGAGAATGATGTTGTCAGCGATGTGAGAGTGGCTTTGTCAGAGATGTGAGAGTGACTTTGTCAGAGATGTGAGAGTGACTTTGTCAGAGATGTGAGAATGACATGTAGCTGTTGTTTGTGCACAGTGTCGCATTGCTCTTGTGGCGTTTATAGGCCTTGCACGCTGGCTTGGTGTGTGTGACACTTGTGTACATGCAGTGGTAGTAGTGGAAACACTGCACAACTGTTGGTGCGTGTTAGTGCGTGAATTCATACCTGTCACCTGGTGGGATGTGTTAGACGTAGTGCACTTCCTGAGTGGTTGGCCAGGTAGCTTATATCCTCATGTACCCGATGGCCTGTTGAAAGATTCTCGGATGCCTCCGTGGATGTGACCTGCTTTCATTTGCTTGGCCTTTCTTGTGTGGTTTTCAGGGTTACTCTTTGCAAAGAGGAGAGTGTACGAGTATTCTTTTGTCCTTATTACTAGTTATTACTGGTTGGTGGTAGAAGATTGCCATGGTATCATTGGGCATGGACTGCCTTTTCTTGTTTGTTTCTTTTGCTTCTTCTGCTTGTCTTGGCCTTCATCTATTTGCCTCTGTCTGCCTGTGTCCATCATCTTGACAGGATTCTGGTACTAAACTGAAGCAGGACTACCTCTTCAGAGATCACCCAAAGTAAGCCATTGTGCTGTTTTTCTCTGCCCGTGTATCTCATCCGTGTGTCTGTCCGTGTCCACGTGTTGCTGTTGCTGGTGTTGGTTCTGAACTTGTATCTAAGATTGCGTGTGTGTGTGTGTGCCCTTGTGTGCCCTTGTGTGCCCTTGTGTGCCCATGTGTGTCCATGTGTGTGTCACATGCATACGTATGTGTACCTTGTGCAGCTGGGTAGCAACTCTGGACATGAAATACGAGCCCTTCAGCTGGCACTCCTACTTGTGGCCATTTGTCAGTGTAGTGGGTGTATGCGTCTTGTTTATGGGCGTCTTCATGGTAAGTCAGCAGTTGCAGGTGCACTCTAGTCTCACTACTTTTTTCTTCTACAAAATCCACATTATCTCCAGACACTGGGGTGAATAATGGAGTGTGGTGGTGGGGCCCATTAAGCTCAGTTGACCAGAGGTCTCGGCTTCATAGCTCCATGGACGCACCTCATGTGTTCTCTTTATTCAATTTATTTCTTGTTGCAGGCCTATATCAGTGTGTGGTGTGTGTGTCGTTACTTTATGTCCGCACTAGTTGATATCAAGTAAACGGCATCCGTGGTTCGCTGTATTCCGCTCTCCCCTCGAGGCCTCTTGAGCGTCAAGAGCACTGCCTCTCCTTATGAACTGGGCGTTGCTGCATTTCTATTATACGTTTGATTGCACATGACCCTGACAGTGTGTGTGTGTGTGTGTGTGTGTGTGTGTGTGTGTGTGTGTGTGTGTGTGTGTGTGTGTGTGTGTGTACATCTGTATGTACATGTGGTTTGCCATGCACTTATGAAACATGGCTCGCTGTGCCTCTATGCATTGTATCCATGGTAACAGGCGCTGAGGTATCGTCGCGAACAGATTCGGGCTCATCGGCGGCGTCTCCCGGCTGTTGACCTGAAGCGTATTCCCATTTTGAAGTTCAAGACGAGTAAGTACAACACAGTGCAGTTTTAAAGAGCCTCTATGTAGTATGCCTTGCCAATATCAGAAATGTTTTCTTCCGCTATGCTGTGTGAGTTACTGGAGACCAGTGTAGACCAGTGTAGACCAGTGGAGGCACTGAAGTAGCCCATCACTGTACATGTGTGCATGTGTACTACATTGTGCCTGGATAATCTATCACAGCGCATACACTGCATTGTATGGTCGTGTTTGATGTTGTGGTGGTGTCGTGGGTGCTTGCATACATGCGTGCGTGTGTGTGTGTGTGCGTATGTGTACTGTAGGTGATGATGCCAGCAGTCGATATGAGACTTGTGCTATATGCCTGGATGACTATGAGGATGGTGACAAGCTGCGTGTTCTGCCTTGCGAGCATGGTGAGTGCTCAACATATCTTGGGGGTTTGTATGCTGAATCTCTCTCTCCCTCTCCCTCTCTCTCTCTCTCTCTCTCTCTCTCTCTCTCTCTCTCTCTCTCTCTCTCTCTCTCTCTCTCTCTCTCTCTCTCTCTCTCTCTCTCTGATCGCAGCACGATTGCTGTCCATTCAGGCGTACTTGACATTATCCTGTTGCACTGCTCTATCGTTCCTATCGACTGGCACTGCGTTGGTTGCAGGATGAGCTTGTCGCAGCGGTTGCTACCCGCGGTCTCTGCTGGTCCTCTAGCTACACTAGTCCTAGTCACTGGGTACTGGTCATTGTACCCCTGCTATCTGTGCATGCACACTCATTAGTGCTCAAGTCGACTACTAGTGTATTCTTCCTAGTTACTTTTCTGTGTCTGTGCCTGTTTGCAATCAATGTTGTCTTGTAACAGCGTATCATTGCCAGTGTATTGACAAGTGGTTGCTGAGTCGGAGTCGTGCCTGTCCGGTCTGTAAGTCCAAGGTGCAGCCTGGTGAGAATGACACACCACCATCGCGGCGACGACAAAGTAGACAAACTCCCTCGGCGGCAACTTCTTCCCCAAGCACGGGCACCGATTCTGACAGTGACAACAACAGTAATGGTGGCACCAGCAGCGGCAATGAAGAGGTGCCGTTAGTTCGCAGTTTGGAGCCTACTGGTGGCCGCTACGGCTCCAATGCCGTTAGTCCAGTGTCCTCGCTCTCTGCTTCCACCAGTACCATTGAGAGTGGTGTGCTGCAGGTGTCTACTGTGCAACCAGGCACTGCTGCTCCTGCTGCTGCTACGGCTGCTGCTACCACAGCCAGTGATGAATCTCTTGTCTAGTCTCTTTCCTCCACACCCCCCACACCCCTCCGTCTCTTCCCCTCATCATCTGATGTGTTTGGTGAAGGTAGCCACTGTTGTTGTTGAAGCTGGCAGCGACTTCCGAAACATGGGTGACGAGCTGCACAGCTGAGCTGCTGCAGAGTATGTCTGTGTGTACGTGCTTGCGTGTGTGCATGTGTGTGTTTAGTTCCGTGTGTTCCATGTATGCAGCCTGCTCTTTTTTTCCTGCCCTGTGATAATACTAATAAATATCCACATCATCATGAATGCTGTGGCGTGCAGCAGTCCACTGTCCTAGTTTAATCCTACCTAGTTCCTTCTTCCCGCAGTGGATGCGGAGCTCATCCTCTCTCATTCTCCTTATCTTAATGTGCTGGCCATATATTGCATGTCTAAAACTATGAGTGAGTGTTATATAGTTTATGATACCTAGCTAATACCTAGCTAACAGATTTGTAGTTTATGATATGTACAAACTTAGTGAACTACGAAATGCTGTTTCTTCTTCTCGGCCCTGGTTTTATTATCTTCTGATGTACTGCAATTTTATTTTCACGATGGCCCATCCTTATTAATTTTGGCAAGACAACCACCGATGTGTAAAATCACACATCTGGTGCTAGATGTTATGCTGTGGCCAGTAACTAGTTAACTGTCCTGTGAAGAAGCACTGCCCAACTTCCCCATGCACCTTGATTTACTATGGACAGGAAAAGCACGATCGCCCTGTCATAAACATCAGAATTTTAGTGTTTAATAGGCTCGCATAATAATAATATTGTGTTCTTTTCATTTCTTGCTGGAAGGTGAAATGAGTCTTTCTACACATCGGATGATATGTCGCTCATCCACGTCAACCCTATACTTTGCGGTGCTTTTCTTGGTGACCCTCAAGGGTACTTTCTCAACACACACATTCTCTCTCTCGCTCGCTCTGCATGCATAGTGATGATAAAACCAGGGAGTCGTAAAATACCGTATTTTACGACTCCCTGGATAAAACAAATGAATACGAATAAAAATCAAGCATTCATTCTGCAGAACAACAAAAATCCTGCTAAGTGCTGTTCGTCATGTAAGGAGTTCTGTCATGCACCACATCAGCAGAACACATTCAGTGAAAATTGTACTTCAACAAAGAATAATTATTTAGATTCATGTTTGCAGCCGAGGAGCATGAACTGAATAAAACCTAACCTGGATAGATGTACAGTAGAGAAGAAAACGAGACCAACACAACTACATGTACACTGTCCCACAGACAGTGTACACAGACAGTGTACACAGACAGTGCACAGACAGTGTACAGACAGTGTACAGACAGTGTACAGACAGTGCACAGACAGTGCACAGACAGTGCACAGACAGTGCACAGACAGTGCACAGACAGTGCACAGACAGTGCACAGACAGTGCACAGACAGTGCACAGACAGTGCACAGACAGTGCACAGACAGTGTAGCGTTAAAATTGGCCATGTACATGTACACTGTAATACACCATTGAGGTAGGTGTCCCAAATTCCCAATATTCAAGAACCCCTGGTGACACTCCAGAATCAAGTAGGTGTCCCCCAAAACAACCATAGCCAAGCCTAGCTGTCATGTCAAGGCGGTGCATACTGTGTACATCCGCCAGCACACAAGCCTCGTTACTCCAGTCGTGGGGCGTGATGGCGTTCAGCATCCTGGGCATGGTATTGCTGCGACATCGTCAAGTACTAACACTGACACTAAACTGAAACTGCCCACACTGTCAAGAGCTAGTCAAAGCGCGGTAGCTGGCCCGATGAGAATGGGAACAGAAAGTTGAGCAATGGCGGCTCGCCAAGCAGAGGCTGTGTCGTCTTTAGTCGGTCGATTCCTTTTCATCATATCGCTGCAAGAAGGAGTTGAGCTGCCACATGTTCTTGTGCGGGTTCTTCGTGTTGTAGATAGCTATGCCCTTCAAGATCTCCTTCAAATGAGCCTAGCAAACACACACAGGAACAAGGATTCAAATTGGCCAAGTGGAATAGATAGACACCGGAACAAGCATCTGGAACAAGGATCTACAAACAAAACACAAGTGGAGTATTCAAGCGAATGAAGAGTGCTCAGCACAAGCACGTACACACACACACACACACACGCACGTGCGCGAACACCACACACACACCACACACCTCACACACACACACACACACACACACACACACACACACACGTACACACACACGCACGCACACACGTACATACAGACACACACTCGAGTGCGTGCACAATCATGACTCACAGGCGGCTGTTCGGTGAGCCGAACAAGATCCTGAAAGCTATAGTACTGATGGCGCTCAAACAAGTTGAACAATTTCTCCTCAACCTCTTCCTTTGGCAGACGTACTCTCTTGTTATCCTTCTGCGACTTGTCAGGCTAAGGTGGAGTGACAGAAAAGCAGAACACTACAATGAACCAAACACACTCTACTAGACAAACAGACCACTACAGGAAAACAGCACTTCTTCTGTAAAAGTGTTTCACCTCCAAAGGGACCACCTTTTACTGTACATGTAGGTTTCCTTGAAAGCTTTCGTCGCCATCTCTTCAGCTTTACTGGCAAATTGAAGTCGCTTGATATGTATTGCCTTATTCAAAATATAAACCTGAGCTAGTGCTGTTCGATGATCGCTGCAGCATGGAAATCAGAGTTCCAGAAATACAGGTTTCTATCCGCCGTCCCCGGTCCCTATGCTAGTGTGATCATTCACCCCAGTGTCTGGAGATATGTGGATTTTGTAGAAAAAAAAAGTGTATACCTGAACTATGTGTGCAATGGGCTTGATTGGCACGGGGCCATCGATCCTCTGTACCGGCCTCACGGGCGTCTGTGCTATTTCCACCTGTTTCCTGAAACACAAACACACATACACATAATTATATACACACATACATGTATACACACATGCACATGCACACACACACATGCACACACACACACACATGCACACACACACACACACATGCACACACACTACTACTACTACTACTACTAGCAGCATGACTGCCCAGAGGGGCAAGTGTCACCCCTATGGAAAGGGGACCAGAAAACGGGACACGGATCACAAGCAGGACCGCGAATGTCTGGCTAGGTCCTGCTGCCGGCGGAAATTGCGTTTACAACGTGGGCAGCTGAGGGGCAGACCTGCTCTCTCAGCAGCAGATGGTCTCGCACCACGATTGCAGTTGTGACGCTTGAACCCGGCCGCAGAACGGAAGCATCGCTGACATGTTGGGCAGTGCTGCTGGCAACAAGCTGAAAGTGGCACAGACAGACTGACTGTTGGTGTAGGAGAACTCGTGACAGGCTGGCATCGATGAACAGAGTAGCCACCCTTGCTGCGGAACCACCTCTGGCAGTTCTGGCATTGCACTGATCCACGCTGGAGCTGGATGGGAAGCCGTCTCTGAGTGGTGCACTTGTGCCGCGTCCTATCTGAGACCCGTGAGAAGTTCCGATCACACACTGCGCAATGCACAGACTTGGGCATGGTGGAGCTCGACTGAGGGGCAACCCGTACTTCCCTCCACTGTTGGCGGTCCTGAGCAAGGATGAACCACTGAGATGGCTGTTGCAGTGCAACCTTGAGGTCGGTCATCACCGTGTCTTTCCACCGTCGCCGGGGACCACAAAACGGCCGAGGCACAGGCAGCCACCCAAAGAGGAGTTGGAGGGGGGTGCGATCCTCATCCATACGCGCAACGTGCCCAGTCCATTCCAGACGCCGATTGCGGAGGCGTGTAGACATCAGTACTGGGTCTCCCCAACGGTACACACACACACACACACACACACACACACACACACACACACACACACACACACACACACACACACACACACACACAACAATATGCACAAGAATATCCACCACAATGAGCTGCATATGTACTACTAGCATATTAGAGAGCTGCAGATATTCTAGGGCAGGAATGATGAATCACATTAGCCAACGTAGGCTGTATCTCATCTCGGGATCTGCCAATACTATGCGAACAGCAGTGATGACATCAAACACACACGCGCGCACGCACGCGCTCGCACGCAAACACACACGCACACACGCACGCAAACACACACACACATCCATACTTCTTGAGCGCAATATACGCCTTATACGACGTAGGCTTGGCATCAGCTCTCTGTACAATACGTCCCTCCACGGAAACATGATCTGCGCAGTGCAGCACAGCATAATCATACAACACAAATAACAACACAATCATACAAGTACAGCAGAACACAAATATAAGTTCCTGCGGACGCCTGAACGCCTTCAGCCATACTGCGGTGAACTGGAGAAATAGCAATGCGCTATCATTGATACGCAGTGGGCAAGGCCAAGGTGTGTGTGTGTGCGTGTGTACATCTCTCTACATCTGGTGGTGCATAAAGCACTTCCCTCAAGGTTCTTTGACTGATCCTGATTGTCAGGAGACATAGGTACATACATGTACTAACTTAGCGTTCTGAGAAGAGCGAGAGCAGAAACGTGGCATCAGCATGTACTACTGCAAGTGCCAGTGTACTACAGTCCATTTCAAAACTATAGACGCGTAGGGTTTTTGAAATATTTCAAATTTGGCTGGAACGTTTTGAGAATAGTTTTCGGAATATTGCTCAGGACCGCTCCACAATTACTCTCAAATAGTTTCTAAACGATTGGATAACAGACGCCCAATTTGGAAAAAATTATGCACAAAGTGATCACAGATTTTATGTGGTATAGATGCTGGCATAACGGTTTTTGCCTAGGTACGCGTCTATAGTTTTGAAATGGACTGTAGTGCAAGTCCCAGCGTACTAGTGTGGTCCCTGCATTCTACTCGTACCTGGTTGGAGGGTAGTGTGGGCTGCACGGCTTGCAGCGATGGCTTCCTGAGCTGCACACACACACACACACACACACACACACACACACACACACACACACACACACACACACACACACAAACATAACATAGACACAAACATAGACACACACAATTACACACACACACACACACATTCTCTCTGTATTTTAGGAAGAAAAACATCAACATCAACACTAGCAACAACAACCAAAGATACAGCTGGTGACAGTCAGAAGATCTGCCAAGACAGCATCTGTAGCATGACCAGCTGGTAACACCAATACTCTATACCTACACTGGAGAGCCAGTGTGCCATGAAGGCATTCTTAGGTCGAGCTGCGTTTGCTGGCCAGAAACCCACTGGCACAGCGAGAGGTCTCCAAAGTCCAAACACAAATGCAGAACACTTTGCCTCTTGCTCCAGCTGCTACTGCGCTGGAAAAATTTGTCGAGGAAAATGCAGGAGCTCTTTTGTCTTCAAGGAATGAGGAGCGAAATGTCAAGCTGCTACACAACGCACTGGTTCATAAGACTGCTTAGGTGTCAGGCTGACACTTACTACAGTACACAGGCCACCAACGCGTCACAAAACAAAGAATGAGTCACTCCAGTCAAGTTGGCGCCAGCAGAAAGCGAGAGAAGACACGAATACACTAGCTCCAGTGATGATGGTGACACAAGTGAGACGAGCTCAGCCTGTTTCTTTTAATGGGTAGTGTGAAAGTAACGACAGCTGGAGCAGAGGAAAATTCACAGGTTGTGCAGTGAACTGGAAGTCTAGGCTTGTCAGGTCATAGCACAACACGGTGACAGTCATGAAAACCATGTAGACAGTACTATGACAGCACTAAGCAGTATCAGCCATGTTGACAAATCCACACTCAATTACCGGTAGATCGTCAGTACACTGGCCAAATTTCCTGCTACTGTAAGTCTACAAATATTCAGCGAAATATTAGCCACAACAAATTTCAGGCCACAAAGTCCCAGCCCGAAAATGCAGGGGTCGTCGCAGAGGTTTTCTGTTGTCCATGAAACAAACATCGTTCATTTCATACTCGAACTACCCCCCCCCCCCCCCCCCCCCCAATGAGCAATATTCACTTCAAAATGTTGTGACTACCCCTAAGTAGAACAGAGTTGGTCAACCTATACACGTTATACTCACATGGCATGGATTCAGAGAGCACCGCCAGAGAATGCTTCGGCGCTGCGTGCATGGTGAGCTTATGTGCACGCGGCAGCTCTTCTTCAGATGGCCGTTTGCCAGCCACGATTATGTCCGGGTCAACATCAAACTTTACCTACAACAGATGATCAGGAGAGCACAAGGACATATCTCATAAGTCCACGGTCTGACTCCCTCCAAACACAGCGCACGTCTCCTTTTGCTAAAATGTATTGTGTACAGTACTGTTGGGTAGTGCTGAAGAACAACCAGGCTAGAATTTCACCCTGGCACAGCAAACCAATGTATACACGGTGACTCAACTGTGCATGGACTGTAATAAGGCAATAAGCAGAATCAGCGAAGCGGACATTGGACGTAGTCATGAACACAAATAAAAGATGGATAAAAAGTTTCCGAACACGTTTTCTAGAGACATTCATCAGGGAAAATACGTCTCAATACTGAAATCTAGCAATGAACAACGATATATTATATGATTCTGCCTATTGCCTTATTAAAGTTATTGTCTCCACGCCGCTTATTTGTAAGAAGTTAGATGAATAATAAGAACGGTCTAGGCTAGGAGGCTGACCCCATAGTTCTTCGGCAACCAACAGTACTGTACAACCAAGAGTACAAAACCAAGAGCGTGCAACTCGACGATCACGCAGCCCACAGCGGAATATTTTCATGACATCAGTCTTTCGCGTCAATATGGCTCACTGATGCCAACATGCGTAGCTAGAGGTCAAAAATGCAAAGAACTTGCGCACCCCAGCTACGGTAGTCGAAGCATTGGATGCTAGATTCATGCGTCATGAACCTGATGAACTGACTGACACTGACTGACACCGTATCATCACAAGCGAGGAAAATATACAGACATTGTACTTGACCATACTTCTGCCAAAAAATGGTTACGCACTCTTGGTCCAACCTATAAATGTGCCAGCTTTTCCTACAGAAATCACCATATGGAAAGATGCACTAAACATTTCATTTTCAACGTGCTATACAGAACGCAGCAGGCTGTGCATGGCCAATGACCAGCAGCAGCAACTTCAGCAGAGCAGCTTGCTTGACACACTACAGCTTTACACGGTGCACGCATACAACAACATGCACATGTGTGTGTACTCCCCCATATGATAGCTTTGATGAATGAATTTCGGAGCAGAGGTATTTTCAACTGATTTTTCAAATGGAGAAAATGGGTACTAGTGCTTGGCACTACATGCATGTGTTTAGAGCACATAGACATGTAGGTGAGGTTTCTTTCTACATGTATACGCGTGCGTGCGCACGTGTGTGTGTGTATGTGTGTGTGTGTGTGTGTGTGTGTGTGTGTGTGTGTGCACCTCAATTACTCCCCTTGTTTCTTTTTCCTTTCTCGCTGTTGTCTCCCGCTTCTGGGAGCGACGTGGCCATTTTGTGGCAGTTGTACATAGTAGTAGTAGTGTGTATGTGTGTGTGTGTGTGTGTGTGTGTGTGTGTGTGTGTGTGTATGTGTGTGTATGTGTGTGTGTGTGTGTGTGTGTGTGTGTGCGCGCGCGCGCGCGCACACACGTATATATGCGCCTGCATATTTGTATGCGCAGTAGACATTGAGCGATGGACCATGGACCATACCTCTTGACCACGAGCAGTCCTGCACAGCACAAGAAAAACAACACACTATTATAATGGGATCATTCAAACAAACGAGAGAGCTTGGAAGCTCAGGGCCCTATGCTATGCTTTTTTGCCTAGCTAGCTCATCATGCATGTTATTAGAACTGATGGAAATGGTTTTTTTTCCATTGATTGGCTACATCAAACTTTCTCTTTGCATTCGAGGGTAATACGACACCGTCTACCACCTTGATGACCTAGGCAAAAAAAGCATAGGGATGTTATAAATTTTTCATTTCTCCTATTTTTCTCAAGACATAACCTGGGATTCGAACCGGCACTATCGCCCTGCATGCATCCCCCGATACACTTCGCATACATACTCATTCTTCCAAGTTGCTTCACGTTATGATCTTGCATTTGAAAGCCCTATTTGAATATTGTGGCCAGCTTTCTTTGATGGTACGGTACGGGACAGGTACGGGATAGCGCCAGGCATGACGATGGCACAAACAAACACCGAATTAAAGCTGTGTGGACCCTGGCAAGCGCCAGACGTTACTGAAGTAACATGTTTTGCATAGCTACGGGAATTAAAACCCCACTTTGCTAGCAGCTGATATCAGTTGACAGTATTGCAGTTAGCCAGCCACGGTAACAAAAGAGAAAGAAGAAAAAATTCTCCTTTCATTTCATGGTTAGATGCCACCCTCAATTCCGTTGTATTGATTGTCTGCATTGGTTATGTGCTTTGGATCAATATGCAGACAAAACAACAACTTGTTTCACTGCGTCAGAGACACCTCCAGGAGAGTGTGTGTAGTTGGTTCGTGTAAAAGATAAATGTACATCATGTAGACTGCATGTATCACATTCGAGACAAACTCATCCAGGTGTCGCTTATTGAATAGAAAAAAAAGGAATTTCCGCTCCCATCTGATCAGAATTTCGGCTGGCTCAATACGCACGTCTCTCACCTGGTGATTTTCAACTTTCCAAGACAATCGCCACACTCCTTGGTAGCGAAGGCTTGTCCTACATAGTTGGGTACCTAATGAAAAGCGCGAGGAAAGCGTGCTTGGTTGTATGGAGCTTTATTTTCTGGAAAATTGCATAAAGAAGCTAACTACCTTTACGAGCCACCAGTCACGACGCAAATTAGTCGTTTCCAAATCCATGGCTTCTCGTGTGACAAGCAGAAACAGACCAATAGCTTGTAGTAACGAAAGATTGCAAATCAACAATGATTCTGCTTGTGTAAAAAGTAAGTGACTTTTCAGTTTTGACTTTCTTTCGTCTTGCTTTGTTTGATTTTGAATCAGACTTCACACGTTCATTTTCAAACATGCAGTGACGTGTGACGTAACGGCGTTACGTCAGCCGTGCCGCGCTAGCGAAGTGCGAAATGCTGAGAATAGACACAGCCCCGCAGCCGATCCAATCCCCTGAACCGATCCACCCCGCAGGGTGGATGACATGTTGATTCAGCGACCCGGTCCGGCCCGGTGCAAGGGATCGAAACTGTAAACATGGATTTACTAAAACCTCCCCGGCGAAAACTTACAGCCTAGTTGGGGGACTGGGGTGGAGGGCGGATACGTCTTTTCTTCTCCTCCTTCTGCTTGAGCTTCGACCTTTCCGGGCATGACCAAGCTTCAAGGAGTCGTACACGACCAAGTATGCGGGCTCTTTGATTATGTTGTTAACCACAACATGCAACCTCATTCATGCATGCATGCATGCTACTAGTGTACTCAGCAAAACTGGGGAAGGCAAGGCAATCGATCCTCCCGGTAAACATTGCCGGTATACAAATCACAGCAGTCCTTTTTACCGGTAACCCACTCAGCCAGGCTACTGGGCCTTGCCCATAATACTCTACATACATGTACATAGCGCCCGTAAGCGGTTCCGCGGACTCAACCAATGAAGTCATTCGCGTAACCCCTATACGCAGCTCAACAAGTAACTCTGGAGAGATATTTGAAAGCCATCATGGACCAGCTGAAAACCAAGATATAGCAGCGAAAGTTAATTTAGTGTTTGTAAAAAGTAGGGGGGTTTGGAGAATTTTCTAGTATTTCGAACATGCTAAATTCGGAGTGGAACAAAGTGTACAATCCTGATAAAACCGGCACAAAGTGAAAATGATGGTAGTGCTGTTGTGTGAAAGTGAAGTAAATTACAAACAAGGCAAATAGGCACCTTGATTGAGAAATCATTGAAGCCGCTAATCCAGCAAGCACTCGGCACTATTCGCATTCGCCAAAATCGGGTAGTCACTCAACTTGGCGACTCACTCTCCTGATCGGCATCACCCTGCACTGCCTCCAGAGTCTGTGCTATGTCCTTGCCCCAGAAAGCTATGCGCATCTCGGCACTGCTCTTCTCCTGGAAGACAGCGTCGAGGCGCTGGCTTTGCTCCTCAGTGAAATGACCCCGCCAATCGCCCACCTGAAGCGGAGAGTGCACGGGAGAGAGTGAGGAGAGAGAGAGAGAGAGAGAGAGAGAGAGAGAGAGAGAGAGAGAGAGTGAGGAGAGAGAGAGAGAGAGAGAGAGTGAGGAGAGAAAGAGAGAGTGTGTTACTATGGTTACATGATAGATGCCGTGACTGTGTGTAGCAAGAGTGCATGAAAACCAGAGTGTGCAGCTCGGATGGGTTGCTGTCACGGCGGAATTCCGTGATTACATCATTTTAGTGACGTAGTGCGTACAAGCAGGAATAATGCAGGATTCAAGCAGGCCTTTTTCTGCACAACTGCAGCTCAGTTGTACGCAATACTCCATTTCCCGCCTCAGATCTGCGCCAAATATGATGTAATCACGGAATTCCGCCGTGACAGACACCCATAGCAGAAAAGGCCCCAAGCTGCACACTCTGGGTTTCATGTACTCTTGTGTGTAGTCATCCTGGGCAGGTGCTTAGCAACATACAGGGGCGTAGCAGCCGGTCCGGCCGGTCCGGCTTTGACCGGACCACTTTCTCGCCCAGAAGTGCCCAGACTGCAGGATTTTGCACCCTAATTTCAAAAATTTCCCGGGGGACACCCCCAGACCCCCTCCAACCGGACCACCTCCAACGGCGGTGCTACGCGCCTGACATAGGCTATCAACATTGCATGCTCTCCACGACCGACCTCGTTCACTACACCAGCAACACGACCCCAGTCAGATATTGACACGTTCACATAATAATAATAATAATAATAATAATAATACCACAGCACGCGTACAAAGGCCAAAGAACAATGCATGAGAATACACTGAAATTAAGCCAAGTCCGCTTCTGTCTCCAGTCAACAAAAACTCATCCATAAACAATGTCTGATCTCCATTTCGACTTGTCTGCAGCAAATGCTCGTGCTCCTTCTAGGTCGCTGGCATTCTTCAAAGGGATGTCGTGCCCTGCCAGGTCCTTCATGATGGTGGTAGGGAGAGTAGCCGCGGGACGGCCCCTTCGTCCACGTGACCCCGCTTGAAAATAGCAGGACATCGCAAGCCATACACGTTCACATACTCAAGCTTATACGATATGAATCCCAAGCCTTGGTAAAGGGTATGGTGTCACACACTTCTCATTTTACAGTGCTATATCCAGCAAAGTGAGGGTCCGCGGGTGTATACGCTCCCCTTATATCTGCCATCCCGAGACAAGACTACAACTTGTAGATGCAGGGTTCGCACTCCCCCTCCCCCCCCCCCCCCCCCAAATCCTCTTTCTTCTTTTATTCTCTCGGCCATATCACACACCAGTGGTTACTCATGTTTACCTTTCCTTTACGCATGAACGGGACAGCACCGGCGTGGCGTAGATCGTTCATCCACGTCATGTTGCTCTTTGCATCTGTTTTCATCTTGGAGAAGCTGCTCTTCTCTATGGTTAGACCAACAATGGTGTCGTTGCATTCCAAGCCGAGAAAGTTGGCCACTTTCGGAATCACCTCGGCAGGCCTCTGGGACAGTCAGAAAATGAACAACAAAAGCTGAATAAGGTATGGCACGTTGCAGTAGCTACAGGGCGGATTGGACTTTGTGAACGAATGCAGTCCATCAATGCAAGCCCAACAGTTACAACTCATCTCACTATAGGTAACTGCCGTGATCTGACTACCATCTACTTGTACCCGAAAGGCTTCCCACGTACAAGACTTGCAAGATGTGTAGGCACTAGTATTCCAGCTACCCAGACCCGACATTGCCGCCTTTACACACTCCACGACCAATGCTTACGACATCGGTATTGTCCAGCACTTACCGCCTTCAGATCCTCGTAGGTGATATGAAGCACCTCTTCCGAGCACGTGTACCAAGACATAACGAAATCAAACCAAGACCCGCACTCCACTGCATGATGAAAACCGTTGAAGAGAAACACACGTAATGCGCACATGCGTTAATGTTATTCCTTCTGGTGTTCCGCCGTCACAGGCATGGAGCAATGCATTACGGAGAAGGCTACAAAGGCACGCCTAACTACTTCCTTAAACAGTACTAACTACTTCCTTAAACAGTACTAACTACTTCCTTAAACAGTACTAACTACTTCCTTAAAAACAGTACTAACTACTTCCTTAAACAGTACTAACTACTTCCTTAAACAGTCACGACTAACTACTAGTGACTACTGTAGAAGTACAAACTTTCGTTGACGAAATCTTTCGTTAGATCACTCCACCAGCAGGTTCGTTACGTACTGATTCTCGTTCTTGCTCGAGGTCTGTCACCCCGAACGCTCAGAAAAACTTTAGTTTGGTACAAACAACTTGTAATTGCACAGTAAGCATTTCATATATGTCGACGTGTATGTGTAATTGTAGTTGTCTTTGTAGCTATATTAAATCTGCTGTCTCCGAAACGCTTGCTCACTTTGGTACAAACTTTAGTTATTTCGTGCCCCCTAATGAATATAGCGAAAGTTAATTCCAAACGAAATTTTGAACTTATACAGTAATTTAAATTTAGTATTAAAGCCACCTGTGCGCATGATCATCACAACCATAGAAATAGGCTACAGCCGACAGAACAAACCCACACTGTACAACACGTGGGTCAGTGGAATTGACCATTGTGTATGCAGCTGAGGACCAAAATGGGTCGCCAAACCAGACTAACGTTAGTGATGATTCTACTTCAAAGAAAAAACCATTTTAATACCACTTTAAAATCTCACATTCCTACCTTGGCCATGAATGAAAAGGTCACAGAACTCTGGGAATTCCCCAGTGTATTCGTACTCCCAGAAGCCCTTGTAGTGGTAATACTGCGACACACACACGTCCTTCGGATTGCGTACGACGTGCAAGTACTTGCACTTGCTATCCGGTGTGTTGCCCTTCGCTGCCATGTGGTATGGGCTATGGTGGATCAGCACGGTGATGTGACGGTACAGCAGAAAGAAACAGAGCACACACACACACGGATATGCACCTTTTGGACCTTTTGACGTCCATCGCCGGAGGCGATGATAGCGATGCTACAGCAGAAGCCATAGCAGCTTGTGCTGGGATTGCACCATTCAACAACTTGCAAGACTGAAGAATTGACCACCACTATACAACCTGGTCTACACCACACAGCTATGAAGTGGCTTTTTCTGGCCAGTGAATCCCTATTTTTTGGTCTTTTTCATTTTTCCCGCACACACATCACACCATATACTCCGGCATGCACTGGCTGTTGGTAACCACCCAGGAGAATGGTAGAAAAGTCAGCAGGAGTCTGAGAAAGAGAAGAAAACCGTGCGTGACCATAATCGTCGGGAATCAAACCCGCAACCTCTCGATTGGAAATCGCTGCACATACCACTGCACCACATGGGACACACACACCTCACACCTCAGACCTCAAACCTGCCCATCGCGGAAGCGATGATAGCGAACAGCTATGTTAGACATAGCAACTTGTGCTGGGATTACACCATTCAACAGCTTGCAAGGCTGATGAATTGACCGCAACAAATGTTTAGCCTGGTATCCACCGCACAGCTGATTGAAGTGGCTTTTTTCTGGCCAGTGCCGGAATCCCTATTTTTCTTTATTTTTTATTTACACACACCACACCACATACTTCGGCATGCACTGGCTGTTGGTAACCACCCAGGAAAATGAAAGAAGAGTTAGGAGAATGAGAAAGAGAAGAAAGACGTGTGCGGCCATAATCGTCGGGAATTGAACCCGCAACCTCTCGATTGGAAATCGACTGCACATACCACTTGCACCATATGGGACACACACACACACACACACACACACACACACACACACACACACACACACACACATATTCAGCTCACTATCTACCCTAATGGACTGGCTAATAAGTCACCCCATCACTGCGGCATGAATATGAACACTATCAGTGTCCAGTAACTCTAGATACCAACCAGGGAGCTGTATTTTACTACTCCCTGATACTAACCATACCTGTGGCTCTTAAAGATGCGTGGTGACGTCATGGCATCTGCATCCTTCTGCTCCATTTCCTCAAACCAAGGATTGAGCTCTCCTACGGTCTTCTCAACGGTTTCAGGATAGCCTTTCGTCTGCAGACACTTCACGATCTGCTGCATCCACGTCGTGCCTAGTCAGAGCACAATCAATCAGCCATGCGACTATTAAAATTATTATTATTATTATTATCGACAGGTTTGCGGTGAATCGTTTATGTACAATAGGGTTGCGTATAAGGATAAGCCTCATGGTGAGGAGATTTACTGTAAAACCTGTGACTAACGGCCACCCCTTGGGGCCTGAGAAAACGATCTTTAGTGGCAGGTGGTCCTTAGTTAGAGGTTTGCACCGCACAACCATTATAATTATGAATGTGAGACCGTCCGTGCCTGGCGAAGTTGTGTCTGTAGTACCAGGTTGGTCGCTAGTCACGATGGTCTTTAGTTACAGGTTTTACTGTAGTATTGTGCTATGGAAGTAAAAACTTCTTTTATGATAATATCAGTTGTGCAAGCATTAGTGATTGGGAGTGTCCCAGTCAGTCACACAACACAGGGAGGGAAAGCAATAGCAAAACCCGGCTGAACAACCAAAGGACTTTTCTTGTCGCTGTGAGTCGTGCGACAAAGGCAAAGCGGTTTTTACTGTTTTGTATCCGTTGTAGCGTTACTTGTAACCGATGTGGCATAAGAAACAATTTGGGGTGTCGTCCAACAGCTACCAGTATACAAATACTGGAAAGGGAAAAAAGAAGGTTTGCCAACAAACAAAATTGGCAAACTATAGGAATAGCCATAATCGTAGATTAAAAGACCAAACTGCAAACAGCTGCCAGACTCCTCCTAACGAGAGTGAATTTGCAAACTTGCCGATGATTGTGCCGCTCAGAGTAGGATGGAGAAGAAAAGTAAGATTGCACAGAGAGAAGCCTGGTGTGCTAATCACGGTAGACTGAGTGTGTTGTAGCAAATTCTCCATGCCATGGCTAGTGGTCAGACTATTCTCCATGCCATGGCTAGTGGTCAGACTATTCTCCATGCCATGGCTAGTGGTCAGACTATTCTCCATGCCATGGCTAGTGGTCAGACTATTCTCCATGCCATGGCTAGTGGTCAGACTATTCTCCATGCCATGGCTAGTGGTCAGACTATTCTCCATGCCATGGCTAGTGGTCAGACTATTCTCCATGCCATGGCTAGTGGTCAGACTATTCTCCATGCCATGGCTAGTGGTCAGACTATTCTCCATGCCATGGCTAGTGGTCAGACTATTCTCCATGCCATGGCTAGTGGTCAGACTATTCTCCATGCCATGGCTAGTGGTCAGACTATTCTCCATGCCATGGCTAGTGGTCAGACTATTCTCCATGCCATGGCTAGTGGTCAGACTATTCTCCATGCCATGGCTAGTGGTCAGACTATTCTCCATGCCATGGCTAGTGGTCAGACTATTCTCCATGCCATGGCTAGTGGTCAGACTATTCTCCATGCCATGGCTAGTGGTCAGACTATTCTCCATGCCATGGCTAGTGGTCAGACTATTCTCCATGCCATGGCTAGTGGTCAGACTATTCTCCATGCCATGGCTAGTGGTCAGACTATTCTCCATGCCATGGCTAGTGGTCAGACTATTCTCCATGCCATGGCTAGTGGTCAGACTATTCTCCATGCCATGGCTAGTGGTCAGACTATTCTCCATGCCATGGCTAGTGGTCAGACTATTCTCCATGCCATGGCTAGTGGTCAGACTATTCTCCATGCCATGGCTAGTGGTCAGACTATTCTCCATGCCATGGCTAGTGGTCAGACTATTCTCCATGCCATGGCTAGTGGTCAGACTATTCTCCATGCCATGGCTAGTGGTCAGACTATTCTCCATGCCATGGCTAGTGGTCAGACTATTCTCCATGCCATGGCTAGTGGTCAGACTATTCTCCATGCCATGGCTAGTGGTCAGACTATTCTCCATGCCATGGCTAGTGGTCAGACTATTCTCCATGCCATGGCTAGTGGTCAGACTATTCTCCATGCCATGGCTAGTGGTCAGACTATTCTCCATGCCATGGCTAGTGGTCAGACTATTCTCCATGCCATGGCTAGTGGTCAGACTATTCTCCATGCCATGGCTAGTGGTCAGACTATTCTCCATGCCATGGCTAGTGGTCAGACTATTCTCCATGCCATGGCTAGTGGTCAGACTATTCTCCATGCCATGGCTAGTGGTCAGACTATTCTCCATGCCATGGCTAGTGGTCAGACTATTCTCCATGCCATGGCTAGTGGTCAGACTATTCTCCATGCCATGGCTAGTGGTCAGACTATTCTCCATGCCATGGCTAGTGGTCAGACTATTCTCCATGCCATGGCTAGTGGTCAGACTATTCTCCATGCCATGGCTAGTGGTCAGACTATTCTCCATGCCATGGCTAGTGGTCAGACTATTCTCCATGCCATGGCTAGTGGTCAGACTATTCTCCATGCCATGGCTAGTGGTCAGACTATTCTCCATGCCATGGCTAGTGGTCAGACTATTCTCCATGCCATGGCTAGTGGTCAGACTATTCTCCATGCCATGGCTAGTGGTCAGACTATTCTCCATGCCATGGCTAGTGGTCAGACTATTCTCCATGCCATGGCTAGTGGTCAGACTATTCTCCATGCCATGGCTAGTGGTCAGACTATTCTCCATGCCATGGCTAGTGGTCAGACTATTCTCCATGCCATGGCTAGTGGTCAGACTATTCTCCATGCCATGGCTAGTGGTCAGACTATTCTCCATGCCATGGCTAGTGGTCAGACTATTCTCCATGCCATGGCTAGTGGTCAGACTATTCTCCATGCCATGGCTAGTGGTCAGACTATTCTCCATGCCATGGCTAGTGGTCAGACTATTCTCCATGCCATGGCTAGTGGTCAGACTATTCTCCATGCCATGGCTAGTGGTCAGACTATTCTCCATGCCATGGCTAGTGGTCAGACTATTCTCCATGCCATGGCTAGTGGTCAGACTATTCTCCATGCCATGGCTAGTGGTCAGACTATTCTCCATGCCATGGCTAGTGGTCAGACTATTCTCCATGCCATGGCTAGTGGTCAGACTATTCTCCATGCCATGGCTAGTGGTCAGACTATTCTCCATGCCATGGCTAGTGGTCAGACTATTCTCCATGCCATGGCTAGTGGTCAGACTATTCTCCATGCCATGGCTAGTGGTCAGACTATTCTCCATGCCATGGCTAGTGGTCAGACTATTCTCCATGCCATGGCTAGTGGTCAGACTATTCTCCATGCCATGGCTAGTGGTCAGACTATTCTCCATGCCATGGCTAGTGGTCAGACTATTCTCCATGCCATGGCTAGTGGTCAGACTATTCTCCATGCCATGGCTAGTGGTCAGACTATTCTCCATGCCATGGCTAGTGGTCAGACTATTCTCCATGCCATGGCTAGTGGTCAGACTATTCTCCATGCCATGGCTAGTGGTCAGACTATTCTCCATGCCATGGCTAGTGGTCAGACTATTCTCCATGCCATGGCTAGTGGTCAGACTATTCTCCATGCCATGGCTAGTGGTCAGACTATTCTCCATGCCATGGCTAGTGGTCAGACTATTCTCCATGCCATGGCTAGTGGTCAGACTATTCTCCATGCCATGGCTAGTGGTCAGACTATTCTCCATGCCATGGCTAGTGGTCAGACTATTCTCCATGCCATGGCTAGTGGTCAGACTATTCTCCATGCCATGGCTAGTGGTCAGACTATTCTCCATGCCATGGCTAGTGGTCAGACTATTCTCCATGCCATGGCTAGTGGTCAGACTATTCTCCATGCCATGGCTAGTGGTCAGACTATTCTCCATGCCATGGCTAGTGGTCAGACTATTCTCCATGCCATGGCTAGTGGTCAGACTATTCTCCATGCCATGGCTAGTGGTCAGACTATTCTCCATGCCATGGCTAGTGGTCAGACTATTCTCCATGCCATGGCTAGTGGTCAGACTATTCTCCATGCCATGGCTAGTGGTCAGACTATTCTCCATGCCATGGCTAGTGGTCAGACTATTCTCCATGCCATGGCTAGTGGTCAGACTATTCTCCATGCCATGGCTAGTGGTCAGACTATTCTCCATGCCATGGCTAGTGGTCAGACTATTCTCCATGCCATGGCTAGTGGTCAGACTATTCTCCATGCCATGGCTAGTGGTCAGACTATTCTCCATGCCATGGCTAGTGGTCAGACTATTCTCCATGCCATGGCTAGTGGTCAGACTATTCTCCATGCCATGGCTAGTGGTCAGACTATTCTCCATGCCATGGCTAGTGGTCAGACTATTCTCCATGCCATGGCTAGTGGTCAGACTATTCTCCATGCCATGGCTAGTGGTCAGACTATTCTCCATGCCATGGCTAGTGGTCAGACTATTCTCCATGCCATGGCTAGTGGTCAGACTATTCTCCATGCCATGGCTAGTGGTCAGACTATTCTCCATGCCATGGCTAGTGGTCAGACTATTCTCCATGCCATGGCTAGTGGTCAGACTATTCTCCATGCCATGGCTAGTGGTCAGACTATTCTCCATGCCATGGCTAGTGGTCAGACTATTCTCCATGCCATGGCTAGTGGTCAGACTATTCTCCATGCCATGGCTAGTGGTCAGACTATTCTCCATGCCATGGCTAGTGGTCAGACTATTCTCCATGCCATGGCTAGTGGTCAGACTATTCTCCATGCCATGGCTAGTGGTCAGACTATTCTCCATGCCATGGCTAGTGGTCAGACTATTCTCCATGCCATGGCTAGTGGTCAGACTATTCTCCATGCCATGGCTAGTGGTCAGACTATTCTCCATGCCATGGCTAGTGGTCAGACTATTCTCCATGCCATGGCTAGTGGTCAGACTATTCTCCATGCCATGGCTAGTGGTCAGACTATTCTCCATGCCATGGCTAGTGGTCAGACTATTCTCCATGCCATGGCTAGTGGTCAGACTATTCTCCATGCCATGGCTAGTGGTCAGACTATTCTCCATGCCATGGCTAGTGGTCAGACTATTCTCCATGCCATGGCTAGTGGTCAGACTATTCTCCATGCCATGGCTAGTGGTCAGACTATTCTCCATGCCATGGCTAGTGGTCAGACTATTCTCCATGCCATGGCTAGTGGTCAGACTATTCTCCATGCCATGGCTAGTGGTCAGACTATTCTCCATGCCATGGCTAGTGGTCAGACTATTCTCCATGCCATGGCTAGTGGTCAGACTATTCTCCATGCCATGGCTAGTGGTCAGACTATTCTCCATGCCATGGCTAGTGGTCAGACTATTCTCCATGCCATGGCTAGTGGTCAGACTATTCTCCATGCCATGGCTAGTGGTCAGACTATTCTCCATGCCATGGCTAGTGGTCAGACTATTCTCCATGCCATGGCTAGTGGTCAGACTATTCTCCATGCCATGGCTAGTGGTCAGACTATTCTCCATGCCATGGCTAGTGGTCAGACTATTCTCCATGCCATGGCTAGTGGTCAGACTATTCTCCATGCCATGGCTAGTGGTCAGACTATTCTCCATGCCATGGCTAGTGGTCAGACTATTCTCCATGCCATGGCTAGTGGTCAGACTATTCTCCATGCCATGGCTAGTGGTCAGACTATTCTCCATGCCATGGCTAGTGGTCAGACTATTCTCCATGCCATGGCTAGTGGTCAGACTATTCTCCATGCCATGGCTAGTGGTCAGACTATTCTCCATGCCATGGCTAGTGGTCAGACTATTCTCCATGCCATGGCTAGTGGTCAGACTATTCTCCATGCCATGGCTAGTGGTCAGACTATTCTCCATGCCATGGCTAGTGGTCAGACTATTCTCCATGCCATGGCTAGTGGTCAGACTATTCTCCATGCCATGGCTAGTGGTCAGACTATTCTCCATGCCATGGCTAGTGGTCAGACTATTCTCCATGCCATGGCTAGTGGTCAGACTATTCTCCATGCCATGGCTAGTGGTCAGACTATTCTCCATGCCATGGCTAGTGGTCAGACTATTCTCCATGCCATGGCTAGTGGTCAGACTATTCTCCATGCCATGGCTAGTGGTCAGACTATTCTCCATGCCATGGCTAGTGGTCAGACTATTCTCCATGCCATGGCTAGTGGTCAGACTATTCTCCATGCCATGGCTAGTGGTCAGACTATTCTCCATGCCATGGCTAGTGGTCAGACTATTCTCCATGCCATGGCTAGTGGTCAGACTATTCTCCATGCCATGGCTAGTGGTCAGACTATTCTCCATGCCATGGCTAGTGGTCAGACTATTCTCCATGCCATGGCTAGTGGTCAGACTATTCTCCATGCCATGGCTAGTGGTCAGACTATTCTCCATGCCATGGCTAGTGGTCAGACTATTCTCCATGCCATGGCTAGTGGTCAGACTATTCTCCATGCCATGGCTAGTGGTCAGACTATTCTCCATGCCATGGCTAGTGGTCAGACTATTCTCCATGCCATGGCTAGTGGTCAGACTATTCTCCATGCCATGGCTAGTGGTCAGACTATTCTCCATGCCATGGCTAGTGGTCAGACTATTCTCCATGCCATGGCTAGTGGTCAGACTATTCTCCATGCCATGGCTAGTGGTCAGACTATTCTCCATGCCATGGCTAGTGGTCAGACTATTCTCCATGCCATGGCTAGTGGTCAGACTATTCTCCATGCCATGGCTAGTGGTCAGACTATTCTCCATGCCATGGCTAGTGGTCAGACTATTCTCCATGCCATGGCTAGTGGTCAGACTCAGTTTAAAAGTGGCCCAGAAGAACTGTACATGTACATGTGCTATCTGGCAGAAAGTCATGTCCAGTACAAAACTCTACAAAACTCTACAAAACTCTACAAAACTGCTGAACCCACCAGACTTTGGATAAGTCACAATGAAGACGTCATCCGCCTTTGTCTTAAAATCAGGGATCTCCTTGCACCGCTCGTACTTGATGGCTATGTTGAAGGGAACTCCCTGACAGATGTTTGCTGTCCATGGTAGCGGGTCCCCTGGTGACCAGCTTGTCTTACTCTTACAGCCCTGCAGTGGCACACGATATACACAGCATTGATAGTGGTCTGTGTGCTAGATTATCTAGCTACAGACAAGAATCCAGCAATGACCAGAAACTTGAATAACCAGTCCATCACCACTGTCAATACGGGCCCAGATTCATTCGGACACACATGTCCCAGTTTCTCTCCAGAATTCATCAGTGACTCGTGTGCACATGAGGGATAAGGCTGAGAACAACAGCATGCAGCAGCCACAGATAAACAACTGAGGGTGTGTGGGGTGGGGGCATGGGGGTTGGGAAGGGGAAGCAAGGCCGTCACAGCCGGGGCAGCTGAGGCTGCCCCACTTTTTGGCCGGTATTTTGTTTTGGAGCACACTGCAACAAAGCGCTATGATCGAAGCTCAGCGCAAAAGCGCAAACATGGCAAATCCCTGTCCCCGATCTTGGTTTATTGCAGAATCAAAAAGTCTTCCATTGCAGTTGCACTGAAATGGCACCAAATGCCTGAAAAGGCTTGCAATTGGCTTCATTTCTTGAAATTTTTTCCGGGGGGAGGATAATGAAGAACCCTTGTCCTCGATCGTAGCGTCTTCTTGGTTTGTTGCAGAATCAAAAAGTCTTTCATTGTAGTTACACTGAAATGGCACCAAATGCTCAGAAATGCTTGCAATTGGCTTCAATTTTTGAAATTTGTTCCGGGGGGGGGAAGAAGCATGAGGCGAACACTTATAAAAGAAAAGGAAGGACATCATGTTACAAGTTATGACCAACTGTCCACCAAGGTACCCAGATCAGATCATATACAGTCAGCATGCATGACAATAGGGCACACAACTGAGAGGAGTACAGTCAGACCTCGCTTATCCTGTCCTCTTTTATCCGGATCCCTCGCCATCTGGAAGAAAATCGTTGGTTACCGATTTACAGCATATGTCAGGCATACATACAGTATGATTGTGTGTTTGACTATCCGGTTCCCTCGCCTATCCGGATATGTTTTGTGGAAACGGATGTGTGCGGTTAAGCGAGGTCTGACTGTACTGAGACAATCAACGACCTGACGCCTAGCTCCAACACATCTACAGGGCGCAAACCAACAACCTTCCAACTTGGAAGGCTCAGGTTAGGAAAAGTCCAAAGAGGATAGTGGACAGTTGATCATAACTCGTAACATTTTTGTCCTTCCTGAAAGTCACGAGCACCTCGGTCTGCCAGGCACCTTGTGGATGAGTTGTGACTACCAAGCATCATGACTTGCTCTCTATTCACTCGGTGAGTGCTGAAAGTGGTAGACATCTTCTCAATACCTGCCTCACTGACTTGCCGGCATCATGTCTAATGGTACAGCAGTAGAATCCCCTGGGCAAACTCTACAACTCAGTCTGCAAGAGCTCATAACCCCATGAGTACCGTATTTCCCCGGGTATAAGTTGCACCTTTTTATTAGGGCTCAAACGGTTAGTCCGATTAACCGGTTGCAGACCGGTTAGGAAGAATTAACGGTTAACCGATAAAGATAACGGCTACGCAGTAACTTTTCAGTCAATTTTTCAAGTATCAGGTCATTGCAAAGTATGCATTTTCGCAGGCTGTCGCACGCGTGAAGCAATTTCTGGGCTGTCAACTCGGTCATATCTGGTCTCTTGGTGTGAGAGTATGTATGAATGAGCATGCAAGAGAATGTACATGTGTGCGTTGTGCTGAAAAGGGTACATTTTTTGAATGAGTATAGTCAAATATACGGTTAAAAAAGAGTCCGCAGGATTGCCGTGGCTTATAGGTTATAACCGTTAAACCGACCGTTAGCTTAGCAGTTAACCGTTAGGGGTAAAACCGTGACCGTTTGAGCCCTACTTTTTATACTAAAATTGAACGGCAGAAAGCCGGGGTGTGGCTTACAATCGAGCATGGTGGGTACATAATGTGGGGAGTGTACCACGCCAAACCCCAGGTGCAGAGCGGCTGCATATCGTATTTCCGCGATTAGACATCGCACTTGATTAAAAGTCGCACCCCCATTTTCAGATTTCAGCCATATTGTTTTGATATATTCACTTCAGTAGTAAGCCATGCTCGACTGTAAGCCACAGAAGGCTGGGAATCAGCTCAGCCAATACATCATATTGATCTGTTTATATGCTTTCCAGCTTCCAAGAAAGATTTTCTTGATGATTTCGGAAGGTTGTGTATGGTGCTTTCAGAGCAGCAGTCAGCACAGAGATATTGAGGTGCAGAGTGTGTGGTGAACATTTGTACACGAGTAGAGAGAGCCCAAATGACCCACCAACCAATACACCCGAGAAAAGAACTGCCAATCGGTTCAATCAGGGTTGTATCATGTGATTTTTGAGGCGGTTGGTGTGCGATTTTTAGGACATCAAGAATACTCGAATACTCGAATATTCGATCGGAGAAAATCGGAGTACTCGAACTCGGGATCTCAGTGCCAACTTTCACCCCTACTTTGAATGAAGGCAATGCTTTGAATCTACCGTACGACATGTGAAATTGTGGTGTGTGTATGTGTGTGTGTACGTGTGTATGTGTGTGTACGTGTGTGTGTACGTGTGAGGGAGTCGTACTTACGACTCCCTGGTTTGTGTACTAAACCGTGGGGAATTTTCAAGTCCAACTTTGAACTTGAAGTTGAAGTTGGCAACCTCAACTTCAAGGATCCTTACTGGTATCTCTGTGTGGAAGCAGTGTGCCGTGGAGGGCACCCGTAGCTTGGAAAACAGAGCTCAATAGGGGGTGTGGACACTTGTTTGTAGTAATACAGTAGTATACAATTATTTACTTTTAGTAGACTGTAAAATTCTCATTCTACCTAGGAAGACAAATGACCAGCACAAGTCACTCGACTGGCCTCTTCCAAACAAGTAAAATAATTGCACCTCAGAAATGGAAACAATCATAATGATCGAATTGACAGGTACTCGCTGGCAATGTCACTTCCGATCTATCCAACCGGTAACCCCAGACTCGTAGTCACGGCTTTTGACTTCTCATGATTTGAGTCCGCTCAAGTCTCTGCGACTATTTCGAGACTCCCTCGATTTAGCGGCCTAAGCTATTGCCAGTCTGGCAGTAGTATTGGGAATAAATCCATGATAAACACAAAAATTAATGATAATGTACTGTACCTCAACTTTCCCGTTCAAAATCACGTAGGAGTTTGCGACGGCCATGGTTTCAATTATGCAAACCCGCTGACAACAAACTCAGTGACGGAAAGATAATAGTATCGGCTCGAAGCCTTCAGTCTGGCACACGTTTCAACTATGTTATTTGCCTGAACGACGTTGGCATTGAATGCAACCTTTTTCTGTCACAGCTGAGTCACAGTCATCGATCGGTGTCCTGAAAGTGAAAAGAATACAAAACAGGAACCGCCCGCGATAGCCGGATTTCATCATCCGGTGTATACATGTAGCATGCACCACTGCACCTGGTGCACTGCCCGGTGATCTGGTAACACTGAAGTGAAAGGAGCTAGCTGAGGGATGGTGCCAGCTGCTGTGCCTTGACCAGGCAGGAATGGACATCAGATTCTCATCTCTGATTCTGACTGATATGAGTCTGACTGTCTGAGTCTACTACAATCAGACCTCGCTTAACCGCACACATCCGTTTCAACACCGGTGCACCGTTTATGTTGGATGCATCACGTATGCTAGAAATATGTAACCAGCTTTTTTTCTTCCGGATGGCGAGGGAGCCCAGCCGGATAAACGAGGACCGGATAAAGCGAGGTCTGACTGTACTGACTCTGTATTCATGAGCTGTAGCCTGTAGCTTGTCGATCGATCATGACAGTGAGCTTGATCTGACGTGATCATGGTGATGGGGAAAGTTTCTTGACATGACATCGATGTAGAGAAAATAATCCGCGACGTCCTCAGTCACTACAATGTAGACTGCTGTTGGGCGAATCTGAAAGTCTTGTAGCGTTCAAACGGCTGAGGAAACCCAGATCCCAGTGAGAAGAGATTATCAGACCCCAGCCTACCCCCCTTCGTCACAACAAAACTGAAGAATGGCAGGTAAGCGAGTACTAGCGCACACTTTGTGGCGACCGACTTGTGCATTGTGCTTTGATAGCTAGCAGCCGGATAGCTGTTGTATTGTAGCCAGCAATATTGACTGTGACTTGACTCATTTCGAAAGAGTTGAGATGAGGTTCACTTCTCCACCCAAACGTTGAAATGGCGTGCACTTTAATACGGTGTTGCGTTTTCAAGGTTATAAATACTAGTAATTAGTATACCATGGTACGTCATGTACCACTAACGGTACCAGGGCTTCGGTTCCCTGGCGATGTGCATGAGCATGGTACCAAGTAGCCACTTGCCCTGAAGCCTCGAAAGGTGCGTGGGCGAAGAAAAATAGTCATGGTCAGGTTAGTGTTCTGTTCTAGTCTGGCCTGGCCTTCGACACGCGCACACACTAGCGCAGAAGACTGTATTTTCACGAGAAGCAAAACCGTCTCTTTCGTTCCAACAACCAAAAAGCTACACTATGCAAAGCTGGCTCAGCGAAACTGACCCCAGAGGAACCTAAATCGGAGCCAGCTGGACAAATGCGGTATTACATGAAATACTTGTGAGGCATTGAGGTGCACCGAAGCGGAGCATACCGCATGATGCCAGGAGCTAAGGTCAAACAAAGCACAGAGAACAGACAGTATGACCCCAATCTGTCCCTGCGGGAATTTGCGGAAAAAACTCTCGAAACTTGCGCAAGAAATTACGGCAGAAAGTAACAAAAAATGCGACGAAAAGTGCGGAATGATGCAGAACTTGCCAGGAATTCGCGGAATTATATTTGCAGAAAATTGCGAATTTGGGCCAAATCACGAAATTTGTTGCATCGTATATCTACTCGGGAGTCGTACTATGCAAATAACCTACAGGATCATGGAAAGAACTGCGTGAAAAGTGCATAATAATGTGAGATATAGTGCAGAAAACAACAGAAAACGCGGGAAATCGCAAATTTTGCTGAAAATCGCGGGTTTGGGCCGAATCGCGAAATTTGTTGCATCCGTGGAATCGCGATTTCCTGGAGGGACAGCCCAATGGCATTGATCACACCAGCTAGAGAGGAAGAGAAAGCAGACCTATGGGCAGCTGTGTTGCTCAAACATCCACGAAAATCTGGCGAGGTTCATGTTCATTCAGTGCATATCGTATTTCAGCAACTAGAAACGTCTTCTGTTATACTTAGTGTAATGGAGTCTTAGTTGATTGGGTGCACTCGACTTTACTTTTAGTGATTTAGGACAGGTCATGTTTTCCATGACCGAGTCTCCTATTGGTGGTATGATTATGCTTAGCACCTATCTCAGTATCTGAGGAACTTGGCACGGTAGCCACTGTGTCACTGCAGCATAGGATTTTCTGCACTGAAACAGTGAGTAATTACTATTATTGCCAATGAGAGCTAAAGCCGCTGGTTGCTGATCTCCAGTGTAAACTTCCAGTACTGCGCACACACCATGCATGTGCGTATTGAGCTGGGAGAAACACATTGACGCTGCAGTAACTGGTACTAGTATGTAGCCAAAATTGAATGGATACTGATTTGTACCGGGTCACTAAGCTAGCTAGACCCCGGTGAAGGATACCAGCGGGTTTTTGATGGGCACGAGTACAGACATACTAGTACTGTACTCAAGGTCCTGGTGTAATAATTGGTATCAGTTGCAAGACTCGGGAGCAGGTCTGTTCCAGGGAACGGCATTGGTGGGCAACTGCTGGCCTGGTTAACATCGTACCTCCAGAACCGGAAGCTGCAAGCTGTTGTTGGGGGACAGACCTCTACCCCCTCTACCATCCGGTCAGGCGTCCCTCAGGGCAGCATCCTAGGGCCCACATTGTTTCTAGTATACATAAACGACGCCGAAGATCAGCTACCTGCCAGCGTCTCCATTGCCGTGTATGCTGATGATACTACGTTATACACGTCTGTCATGCCTGGACAGACCACAGAGGCCGCCGCAGCTGCACTTCAGACAGCCGTAAACCAGCTGGAAGCCTGGGGAAGTACTTGGAGGGTTACCTTTGAGCCCTCTAAGTCACAGCTGATGTCCGTGACCAGGAAGCTGGCCCCTCCAGACTTCCCCACTGTCCAATTCCTTGGCACCCCTGTTCCTGTCAGCAGCCAGTTGAAGCTCCTTGGGGTGGTGTTCGACGAGAAGCTCAACTTCAGCGCCCACCTCCACCAGCTTTCTGTGCGCGCACATCAACGCCTCCATTTCATGCGGAAGGCAGCCCCCATCCTGGACGCTGCTGGACGCCTAACCGTCTATAAGGGCTTTGTAAGGCCCATACTTGAGTATGCCCCACTAGCCTGGCTTGGTGCTGCCCAGACCCACCTTGGGAAGTTGGACACAGCACAGCGCAAGGCCATGCAGATGATTGGACCCACCACCGTCCTCCAGAGTCTGCGGGCGAGACGGACGGTCGCAGGGCTGTCCTATCTCTACAAGGTAGTGAACTGCAAGGGCCCACCCCGTCTGACACGCATGCGCCCTCCCCCAAAACCACGGGCCGATACTGTTCGAACCCGCCAGCAGCATTATGCTCAGCGCCAGCACCGGGAACAGCTCTTAAACACCACCCCGGCACCAGTCCCGATTACCTTCGACGTTCCTTCCCGTACTGTTTCCTTGAATTGTGGAACAGCCTCCCCGAGGACGTCTTTCCCCGTCTGGCCAATCACTCTCCACTCACAGCTTTAAAAAAAGGTGTCAACAAACACATCTCAGACCAGCCATGGTCTTGGGACGTGCTTTGAAGCCCATCATGTTGATCGTCTCACTGTTCTTTCCAGATCGCACCTCTCGGTTTGGGGATGTGCATTGAAGCACCCCATACTAACGGTCTATACTGTCCTCTCTTGGTCACCACTCTCCCTATTACCTATATTGTAATTACCATTCATGTATTGCGCTTCAGATTTTCTTCCGTTTTTGTCTCTTGGTGCGTTACCGGCATGGCGATACTAAGACCTAATGGTCAGTGGAGTGCCTGTAGCCTCACCAGCACTGCTACTATCTGTGACTGTGGCGACCACCATTCAATGTCTCGTCCTCCCCTAACCGTACCCCAACTCTCTCTCTCTCTCTCTCTCTCTCTCTCTCTCAGCTCTCTTTTTATCTGTCTTTTCTTACTCTTTTTTCTTTGTCAGCTTTCCTGGTGGTTATGTGCTTTTTCAAGTAAATAAATAAATAAACACTTCATGTTCTCTAACTGCCAGGTGATTGGCTATCTGCATGACTACAGTCACGTGACATACACTGTTGATTGATTTAAATAAAGTGAGAAAATATCAACATGTCTATAACTTGTGCAAGCTGTTGTGAATCCAGCCTCTTCCTTCCGCTGCTATCATACTGTCCAGGAAATCTGAAGGCAGAAATCGAGGCGGCAAATGTCAACTTTATGCGCTGCTTTGATGGCGGAGATTTTGATGGTCTTTCGATGCTCTACACGGAGGACTGCAAGCTCATGCCGACCGGAAGTGCCACACTAATCGGCAGAGAGGGTAGGTGGTGTTGTGCCGACAGAGCTAACTGACAATGCTGAATGATGACTAGTGCTGCCAGGTCTGCCGGACCACTATGAGGTCGGTGGTGATGCTATGTTCTAACCTCGGTCTTTGACATTGAGCCGCGTGACTCCGAGGCTCTGCAGCTCGGGGATCAACAGACAGTTTACAGTGTATGCTGTATTTCTTCTTCACTCCTCACGTAAACTGCAGGTGTTAAGGCTGTCTTTTCGTCAGCGTACAACGGCGGTGCAAAGAAAGTGCAGTTGACTGTTGCTGAAGTCGGAGAGCTCGATGCCAACTTCGAAATGGCTTACGAGCGCAGTCAGTACATCTTCTTTAAGGAGGATGGCACTGAAGCAGACAGGGGAAAGTAAGTAATGTTTGATGACTGTATCATTGCTCGTGGGTTACTTTTCACAAACCACACCTAGCAAGAGTCAACAATCTCCCAAGAGTACGTGTGGGGTCTCCGACGATGAAAACTCGCATCCCGTGTTCCAAGTACGAATTGCAGTACTACAGTACGTACAACGAAGGGCAGCGTGTGCGCAGTCCACTGAGACATCTTCCCGTGATGATCGTGCTGATGACTCGCATTAGCCATGCAGGTTTCTGTTAGGAAGTGCTACTCGCCTGGTTGTTAAAAGCGGGCTGGGAACGTACAATGGGAAAACTTCACCACGTGATGTGAGTTTTGCCGCCCACGGACCCCATAAAAAGGGTAGCTGCACACTCTCCGCAGCTTCTTATACTCTTGCTGCTAGCATTGATACACATTGCCTCCGACTGACACTCAGATGTTACGGAGAAACGGCAGCCGTAGATGTTCTTGGGACCTGCTCATAACGGTATTGTTCGTCAAAATTCCCATGTTGAGTGATAGATGAAAAATATTATAATGATATGCCCGTAGTGATCATAATTGAGTGTCGTTTCACTCATTTGTCAGATCAATTCTACGATGTTCTCATGTCATTTGCCTTCCTGCTGTAGATACGTGGTGATCTGGAAAAAGGTGGAAGGCAAGTGGTACCTATACACGGACATCTTCAACACTGACCTCAAGTAGAGTGTGCATGATAACAGCCTGATGAATAGCTATCCCGCTCACTTCGTACTCCAAAGCTGTGGACTTCTGCATTGCCAAGACCCATGGAGGTTATTGATATTGCTTCTTGCGATCAGCTCCTTGAATATATTTTAGCCCATTTCTCCGTAGTGAATTGTTTTAGTGAGTGACTTACTATCTTATATGTAGTTTCTTTCAGCACAGTATGCTGCGTGACTGTTGTAGGCCCTTGTCGAATGACAAGCAGCCTGGTCTAATAGAGAACATCATTGTCAATTTTAGAGAGTATTTACCTCGGATACCACCTTCACGATAATCTCCTCTTCTGAAAAGTATAGATCTAACGCTAAGAGTATAAACGGTACCATTCTGCAGTGTGTCATGTACGAGTAGGATGCATATGTGTCCGGAAGAGACGGTGTACTCGTATCACATCCTGACCTACTTGACCTTGCACAGTCACAACAGGCCAAGTTATCTCATACTGGACTCGGTCTGTGATTTGGTGGAGGATGCTGCATGCACTCACCTTTCCTTTACTGTAAAGTGATCATCAGAACAAAATTGAAAACTCAAGGCATACCATTACAACTGGATCTGGCTTCAATAAGGACACAGGACTTGTGTCGTGCTCAGCGTGCGCTAATCCAGAAATACATGCACGTTGCTGTAGCAGTCACCTCGTGCGGCCACTTGGTGGTTACATGTCATGTGCTGTTACAGCTATGCATGTTCTGGCCAGAAAAATCCGACCTCATGAATAAAGAAGCGCTGAGCTCGAGTGTGCAGAATGGAGCTAGGGCCTAGGACCAAGTAGCCGCCCGCCCGCCCCCCCGGCAATGTTATATTCATGAGGTTGGATTTCTGTGGCCAGGATTGCACATGTACATGCAGTGCACTGTGGACCACACAGTCACTCAATGTTGCCGTGTGATCAAGCTACAACAAGAGACTTTCGAGGCAATCCTGAAATATCATATTCCCTTGCACTGTTATGTTACCGCATCAAACATATCCCACAGCACTACAATAGTACACTGTACATGCATGTACAGTAGGGCAAAGCCAGCTGCAGCTGTGTGGCAAAGTATAGCCCTGAGTCTGCATGGACAATGAATTTCATGCCAGGCCCATCTTGGTTATTTCTTTACAAGTACAATCCTTTCAAAAGTACATAACCCCACAGCTTAGTATGCTATTACTGCAGCATCTATGACCGTGGTGCAGGACTTGTGGTGGTGTGTTGAATTTACCGTCTCTTCAATGTACATGTAGCAGCAAAAGAAACGGGCGGCAGTGCTAAAGAAAAGGCACCGACATAGGAAACTAGCTATCAATATCAATCGGTCACTGGAGGCATATCATATAAAACAGCAGAACAGGCTCCATGGGCAATAAATAATAAAGTGATATCAGCTGAATTCGCAAAGTAACGCTGTGCATCAAACCAAGCAAAGTGCTGGTGGCGAGCGTTGGGAGGAGAACAAAAAACTGCAAATGAATGAGCAAAACGAGCTCTGTAGATACCATGACCAGCAGAATAGTACAGACAAGTAGCAGTAGCGGCAGGCGGTCAGCGGAAGAGTGGGCGGCAAACAAGCAAAGCACATTCAAGAAGAAGAACAGCAGTGCCGCCATGAAAAACGCCTAGCTAGAGCTTCAAACCTACACACGTGGCTAGTTCGGCATCGTCGTTATTACATTCACCTGTCAGCATCTCAAGCATCCAAGCACCTGGAAATGGAAATGGGAACAGTTCTACCGCCGACTGCCCAAAAAATACAGCAACAGCACACATGCAATTACAGAGCAATTCAAAAACACGCGCAGCGCATTGATGACGAACATAGCCAGCTGCGCAATATAGCATAGCATAACATACCAGAGAGAAGTGATGGTCTTTGTTCACATATTTACAGCTCTTGATGCTCATCGGTGGGTTCATCACCATCTGGCAATGCAAGAGTCTCCTCTTGTGCATCTGCTGGCTTCTCGGACTTTCGCTTCGCCCTCTTCTTCGGCGCTTCAGTAGGCTCCACGGTCGGAGGCACAAACTCAAACTCTTCACTGTCCTCTGGCGTGGCCTCGGTGGTTGGCGGCTCTTCAGATGTGCTGTTGGCATCGTCACTGGTGGTGCCATTCACTGTTGCATTCTTGGCCTTTGCTGCCTTGCTTGTTGCATTGACCTTCTTCTTGGTGGGTACAAAATACTTGGCTTTGTTTCCGAGGTAGTACATCTCCCGGTCGAGGTTGTTGGTTTTGTCCTTCAGATCACTGCTCAGCAAGACTGGGTCTTCGGACTTCTTGGTCTCATTCTGCTTGGCTTCTGTTTCATTGAGCCATGCTTCCGTCTCATTAGTCAACGTGATCAAAGCGTCCACTTCGACCTTTGTGTAGAGACTGTCCACATAACCGGGCATAGGCTTGGTGAAGTTCAGTGCCGGCACAATGAAGTAGCGCGAAGAATTGATTGAGCTGCGCAGCTGACGGACCAACAGTGGGCGATTGACATGCTCCTTCACACGTCGCACAATCGGGCGAGCAGTCTTCTTCAGATCAGCCAGCTTCTCGTCATAGATCTTACGAGTAGCATCTTCGCCTTCCTCATACAGCCAGTCAGAAGCCGCAGATAATGCAGTGGTGACGTTGGCACGCTCCTCTTCCTCAGATGCCTCGGTATACTCCTCAGAATACATCTTATCTTGCATATCAAATATGTACGCCTCTAGAGCGTTCTTGGATGCCTCGAGAAGCACTTTCTCCAGATCCCTGTCAGCCATCTCTTGGAGACGTGCCTTGGTTGCCGTTACAGTCTCGTTTGAGAAGGGTACGAAATCCTTGCGGGTCACAGTGAAGTTGAGTAGCTCCTTGATCATCACAGGCTGCGGGGGCTTCTTCTTTGCCTCAGTTGCATTGCTTGCAGTGGAGTTGGCTGCGGTAGAGTTGGCGGAGGATGTAGCGTTAACTGTCTCGTTGGTCTCTGACTTTGGCGCATCAGATGACTCTTTCTTTGTCTCTTCACCTTTGATCTCATCTGTCTTCTCCTTTTCTCCATCCTTCTCTGGTTGGGCTTTGTCCTCAGTCTGTTTGCCCTCCTCTTTCTCTGAGCCAGAAAAGAAGCTGGAAATTCCTCCGACAATATCAGAGAAGGCGGATGCTTCATCCGTGTCATTCTCAGGCTGTGGGGCCTTTTCAAACAGTGCTTCGATGTGGTCCAGGGTTAGAACTCCGCCAGTATCCAGGTTGAAGTGAGCCTTCACACCTTTCGGCTCAATGTTGTCAGCATTATGCTTGGCGAATATATCACCGACGCCAGACACCGACACATGTGTGATGTTCAGAGGACCATGCTCTACCACCTGCTGCTTGCTGAGGTGAGAGAGATCGCTATAGTCCAGGGTGAACTCAAAGTCGTCACTGAACTTGTTGAAGGTCATGATCTTCTTCTGTGGCATGACGTTATGGCGGTTGTAGAGCACGCGGCGTACATGCTTGACATTACCTTCATCAGTCTGACGATCAAATGCCACTTCCATGGGAAAGAAGCTGATGTCCTTCACGCCAAACTTCTTGATGCGGAAAGCCTTGCTCAGGCCAGCGGCAGAGTATGATGCACCAAGAGCAGCTGCCTCATCACTGTTCACAGACTTGCCCAACTCGGTCTTCTTGGCAACCTCCATAAGGAGTTGTTGAACTTTGGGCACACGAGAGCCGCCACCAACAATAATGACCTGCTCAAGATCGGATGCATCCATTTCAGCAGCCTTTAGTGCCTGCTCAACAGGTGCTTGCACTCTGGCGAAAACATCCTCGCACATCTTCTCAAACTCCTCTCTTGACACTTTGGCACGGAAGTCAATGTCAGGAAGAAGTCCCTCAATCTGGGCCATGTGATCTGTGTTGGCACTCAGTACTTGCTTGACACGATTTGCCTCCTTCAGCAACTTGGCCATGGCGCGAGGAGATGTACGTACACTCTCTGACGTCTTCTTCTGAGAGTCGAAGACGGTAGCAAGATGGTCGCGGAGACGCAAGTCCATTTCCAAACCACCGAGAGTACGATCAAAGCCGACGGAGCGGACAGTGAGCTGAGGAACAGTCTCAGTAAAGCCTAGCTCCTTGATCTTTACAGTCTGGTATGAGACAATGGTTGCAACAGTACTTGTCGCACCCATGTCAAAGAACATGAGGTTCTGCTCAGTGTCATTGAAGGTCTGGCGGCGGAACACGCCGTAGTTCAATGCAACACCAGTGTTGGAGTTGAGCAACTGCAGGACTTTGAGGCCAACCAGCTCGGCAGCATACATCATGGCATTGCGCTGTGCCTGGGTAAAGAATGGCGGAACAGCAATCACTGCGTCCTTGATCGGGTGCTCAGCATAAGTCGACGCCGTCTCGCGGGAGTTATTGAGCATCATAGCTACCAGTTCCTCCACACAGTAAGTCTCCGTGTCGCTGTATTCAATGCATGCTGTGCCACGTTCTGCATTCTCTGCCAGCTTGTAGTGGGGAAAGCGTTCACTGAACTGTCTCACAGCAGCACTATCGAACTTCTGTCCCAGAATGTGTAGAAGGTATCTGAAGGCAAACTTGGGAAAGCGAATCCCTGTGTTCATGGCAGGATCTCCAAACAGACGCTCTCCATCTCTCATGGACACAATGTTCGGTGTTTTCCGTCGGGACTCCTTGTTCAGAGCAATTTCCATAGGCACTCCGGGTTTCACAATGGCCACCTTGATAAACTCACTGCCAAAATCCACGGCCATCACAGCAGCGCTATCCACATGGCTCACACTGGCTACGGTCAAAACAAGCACCGCCAACGCGGCAATGCTCCCCCGAGCCATCGCTTTCTCTCGAAACAGGCAAACAGCCCAAAAAGTATTCTGGAACCAATGAAAAGATGCTAGACAAAGCTCCGAAGAAAGAAGAAAGTTTTACTTCAGTTGACGTGTTTTCTGCATGCACACGTGTCGTTGTTTTCTGTGCTTATGCCACGTTAGTTTTAGACTGAGCATGAGACTTTGAAACCGATCGTGATCGCGATACAGCTAGCTATTATTTCCGCATTCATGACGCCATTATAGTTGTCATGATAACGAAGTTGCATGTTGCGTGCGCGTGGCCCGGCGTGGGGGTTTGATCACGTGCACGCTAAGCAGTTGCGCAACGAACGCGATCGAACGGCGCGGCTCGCTCGCGCTCTACTCTCTCGATGCATCGAAAGCTGTGTTGGCTGCTGTTTGATGTACGGATGACCAGATGACCCAGATGACCTGCCCCACGTCCAGTATGCCGCTCCGCACTATACTACGGCACTACTGTGTTGGTGATGCTTCTCATCTGTAAAATTGATGGTCGATGTTTTGTTGCAATTCCATCAATTGTTAGAACTAGATATCGACTAGAAGATTTAGAACACCTTGAATGAGTTTCCAAAGTCCAATTACAAGAATTCTTGCGCCATGTCTGATTCGGGTGGTCGGAAAACGCTGATACATCTGTCCAGTGGTTGGTGAGTAAAAACAAGGATGCTAAATGGGATGAAATTCCGTGAACTCTTCGAAAGGTTCTATTTCATTTCAACCCTGGCTTTGTGCAGCGTTGCTGGGACTGTGGCATCAAGCCTGACTTCACCTCTGGACGTTGTGAAAACTCGCATGCAGGTAAATGTGTGCCACTGTCGTCGTCCGAATATGACCTAATGTTTGGAGATGAGAAAATAAATTGATTCTTTCTCTATTCACTGATTTATTGTTTTTATTCACCGATTTATTGTTTTTCAGACGTCCAGTTGTGGAGTGTTCACTTCGACTGCCCCTCGACCAACTGCAGTAGCAGTGCCTTCCCTATCTATGGTGTTGCCACGACCCCTGTCTTTGCTGAGGTGAGGATCGCTTTCTGTGACATGCACTCGTGCTTATTCGAGCAGCTGGAGACATGAAGACAACAGCGCATGATAATAATTAGTTATTAAATACGTTTCTTTCGACATGTACTTGTAGTTGTTGAAGCGCACAGTCGACGAGTCGCTTCTCGCGTATGCTATTATAGTACAAGTCCACGCTGTACTAGTATACTGCATGTGACCATGTGGTGTTAGGCAATTTTTTGAACAGAACAGGCTGTCTTGGAAGTTTGCCTAAATCAGTAAATGATGATCGACCTACATTTAGAATTAAATTTGCACCAGAGCAAGATATACTGTACTAGTAATCAGTGCTACATTTCATATTCTGCAATATTTGATTGATTTATTCCGTCGTTTTGTTACTACTTCCAGCACCAAGAACGTACTGTAAAAGCAGAAATTTTCGGTGGTGTTTTATTTTCGGTAACTTCGGTGCCGACAATTTTTACCGAAAATAAAACTCACCGAAAATTTCGGTACAACCGATACTGTATACATGTACAGTCGACCTACCCTTATAACGATATTTTGTGTCTGACCAAGAAATATTGTTATAGGGGTAACTGATTCATTCATACACATACATGTACGTCATATGCATGAATTTCGTTCATTTTTTACACTCTTCATAGCGTCAAAAAAACTCATGCACATTATGTACACAGCAAGGTGCCCACTGGTCCCCCATTGAATTTCGTCATGTCCCAGCGACTTATCAAGTGAAGCTTGCCCTACCTTGACAGTGGACTGTACAGTCATATTACCTGCTGGATATTGTTATAAAATGGAAAATGTCGATTGGTCAGCCCATTTATATTGTTATAGGGGTAATATCGTTATAGCAATATTTAGGGGTCAAAGGGGTGTTCCGGGTACCCGCCCGTTAACCCCAGGTACCGTTAGTAAAAGGGTACCCACTTGGATTTCGGTGATCAGGTCAGTACAGAACAACACTGCTGGGATTGTGCATTCCAGGCGGGAGTCAATTATTTACAACTCCAAGCTGCATGCCTGCATTGTTGTTGCATTTTCGCACCTAGTAGATCTACCTCTGCAACTATCAGACTCAAATCAACTGGCGAATCACAATGTGATATCAAAATGCAACCTGAGAACAGATAAATTATCATGGTTTATATGGAAATTGCGCAAAAATTAATACATGGCTGCTAATGGGTACCCGTTAACCCGCCCGTTAACCCTTTACCATCCGTGTGTACTTGAATCGATCTCTAGAGATCGATGGACATGCATACACTAAAACATTCGTAACTCGATCGATTCTTGGCGGAATTAAAAAAACTAAGTATCTAGGAAGAAGCCGAAGAGCTCAGCTTTCCGTTGCATCAATCGGTGAAGAGGGGCGACGTCGCATTCCAAAGATATGACGCTCGACATTTCAGCCACGGTAAAAGTCAAATTTCTTTCCGAGTGAGCGGGGAATTTCCCCTCTCCTGGCATCCTGAGTCACTCTGGCATGCTTTGAGCGCGTGGGCAGCAAGAAAAGAAACGCAAGCAAAAAATTGGAACGTTTACGATGAAGGAGCGAGAAATGGCTGGCGAGGAGAGAATTTCCTCGCATATCCAGCGATGGGGTGTATTTGAAGCTCCCTGGCGCTGGATATGTGATCTCGGTAGTGTCCTGTTTGAGCTCAATGTACGCATCTCGTGGAGAGCTTTCCAGAATGCCCAATATTGTGAAAATTGGTTGATTAGAACCGAAGATATTCTCAGAATAAGGTGAGAATTATTGCATTTGGGAGTGCTGGGGAATTTTGGTCGGATGGTAAAGGGTTAAGAAAATTACCCGTTTGTTAGTTGAAGGTACACCCGTTTGACCCCTAGTGCCAATATTGTTATAGAGGTAAGGCATTGTATACAAAAGTCAATGGAGTGATTTGGTTTGGCAGAAAAATATCGTTATATAAGGGTAATATCGTTATAGGGGTTATCGTTATAAGGGTAGGTCGACTGTAGTACTAGTACACTTACCTGGAGAACGGGTTTTACCGAAAATTTCCCTCTACCGAACCGCCGATTTTGGAGAATACCGAAAATATTACACCACCGAAAATTTCTGCTTTTACAGTACACTGATGCATGTTAATATGTACCCACTAGTGAATCACTGGTGTCCCCCCCCCCCCACACACACACACTTTTTGTGTCATGTCACCCTAAACTGGTGATGTGAAATTTCAAATTTGTCTTCTCTGCATGGAGGACCTGACATATTCCCAGCTTGATGTCGTTATAAATTGGGAGTTAAAATTGTCAATTGGTCGGTCCATTTCCAATTGCTACAGGGATTGTATTATACAAGAATCAATGCAGTGGTTTAGTTTGACACAAATTATCTTGATACTGGTAGGTGGAATCTATCTTGTTAGTACGTGAGCATCGAGCACTTTTGTTGTTTTGGCAAATGTTTGTGTGAACATCAGTGTCACCCTACCGTTCCCTTTTGCCCCTCGCCACAGAGCTTTGTGCTTGTGCTTGGCTTTATACTGGTATGATGTCAGGCTTCTCTCTTTGCTTTGGATGTTGACCGGCTGCAATTATTGTCTTGTCTTGTGCTGCAGGAATATAGTGCGGTCAGAAGGATTCTCAGCATTGTACAAGGGACTTGGCCCAACCCTAGTTGGCATTGCTCCTGCAAGGTTGGTGCTCTGCTTCAGTGCTTGTGATGCATAGTGAGGATATCTTGTGACCACATGTCTGGATCAGGCCTTACCAAGAGTGCATAAGCTAGAGTGCAGTGACTTATCAGGGTCAGTAGGTCGAGGCGTGACCACAACTTGTGGGGACCATGGATCACGTAGAACTTCCCAATCAGGGATCGAACTGTACATCATTTCAGGTATTATGGTCTTGTGTCTTCTCCCTGAACACTATGACTCCCAGATCATCACGTACAAGGGTGGGGATTCATACCTTGGAAAACTTTTTTACTTCAGAGTACATCCAAAGTTGAAGCAAAAGCCAAGTAAAAGACGTTTTCAGGAGGCGAAGTCCTCCCAAGTGCCCCGCATGCAGCAGTGCAGATCTTGTTCGGAAATTTTACATGATGACTCAAGGTCACTGGGTGAATTGACGTCAACGAAAACAATTCCGGTGTGAATCAGGCCAGCAGTGGAGTTAGGGGCTATCGGGCATTATCGATAATTTTCACGAAACGAAAAAGTTTAGTTAGGACCCTCCCCCACCCACATACCCCCCCCCCCCCCCCCTGAATGAAAAATATATTGACTTGACAGCAAGTATGCCTTGATGTCTCACATATCAATCATTTTCGAAACGAAACTCCTCTTGACCCACCCATATATGAAACTTTTTCTCTTCGTGTAAAAGATCGATAATTATGGACGGCCCCTTTACCCACTCTTGTTTATGTACTCTTGGCCATACTTTACAAGCACCGTGTATGCATCTGGGGAGAATGCAAGGGAAGTCCGCCAGAGATGTCACCAGTACAGTACACGTCAGTGAGCCAAGCATGTCAGTGTTCCTACTGCCTGTTGTAAACTGGGGCAGGCAGCTGGGGATTGCAATAAATCCTTTCTATATATGCCTTTTGCCTTGATGTCTTTGGAAGCATGAATTTAGTCTTCAGTTTGTTTGGATCATGTGTGTTGGATTATCTTTGATGCTATCTTTTTCTTTTCTTTTGTTAATCCTATCTTTTTTTCTTCTTTTGTTAATGCTATCTTTTTTCAGGGCTATCTACTTTGCGTCGTACTCTAATTTAAAACTGCTGTGCAACTCCCACGCGTGTCCGAATACATGGAAGGTGCACTTACTGTCCGCACTGGGAGCTGGTACGTAATGTGATTTTTGTGGCGTGTGCACTGTACACTGCAGTAGAACCTTTCTTGCCCGGTGTCCACGGGGACTGAAAGTTGTCTGTCTTAGAGCTGTCCCTTTTTCTTCTTCTTTTTTTCAGAATGTGGTAAACACAGTGCACGTGGCATCTCTTTCTCTTCAGCTTTGGCTCGCTGAAGCAGGCATGCATGGAGGGCTGTGATCTTTTACTTTTAGTTTTGAAGTGCGGTTGAGGCAAGGGAAACTCTGACTGAAGTGCACCCCAATATGAAATGCAACTGGACTTTAATGACCTGGGTGCTCTCTGTAGTGCACGTGTGTGAGGCCATCAAAATCATTTCGCAGATCTGAAAATGTGCATGCATTTGGATTTGACAGAGGGTACATTACTACTGGATATCCGAATAAGAGAGATTCTACTGCTGGGCTGGTGCTCAGTCAGGCAATAACCCACGTGTTGCACAGCTAATACTGTTCAGTGTGGGGAATATTGTCGATGAGCTTGAGCCGTCCTTGACTGTCTCACAGAGATACTAGCATGTGTGTGGGTGTGTGTGTGTGTGGTGCTTTGATGTATGCTGTACGCTGTATAGTTTGTGCTGACATTTCCATGCATAAGTCATTGATGCATGCTGTGTTTGCCTGCTGCTCTGAACGTAGGGTTGATTGTGTCGACATCCACGTCTCCCATATGGGTGGTCAAGACTCGCCTACAGGTCCACCAAGGCAGGTAAGGATCCTGGGAATTCTGCGTGTGCATGTACTTTCCCAGAATACTATCTCAGTGCTCGTTGTACTCAAAGTGAATTCAACGCATTGGCGTAGTTAAGTGCGGGTATGTTTCATGATAATGTTTGACCCGGTAGTCTCTTGGGATAGGGGGCTCAGCTCCCATGTGCAGATCATGCAGACCACATGTTTCGACCGAGTTCTCGGTGGTCCCACTGGCTTGAAATTTGCTGTTCCGTTTTATCCCCCATTTGCACTGAGTGCATGTCCTAGGCATATACAGTCGTCCCTCTCTAATCCGACACTTGTTTATCCAGCACCCTTGCAAACCAGCACACTTTCTGGCAAAACGGATTTTTTCAGTTCATTTTCTACGCTTTAATCCGGCACTTGAAATCCGCCTCCAGCAACGATTTTCTGCAACAAATCACTCAAACTGTACATAATTCGTTTTTCTAATCCAGCAGTTGTACATCGCATACTGTCAGGGACCATTGTAACATACACACCACATGTAACATACACTTGGGAATATCCTATGCCAGTGCATAGGATATTCCCAAGTGTATGTAAAAAGACATGCATTCCACAAAGTTCTTGGATTGATACAGAAAATCCCTACGTTTTGACGTACGACACAAACATGTATATTAACAGGTGGGCCGGGTTGGAGGGCAGGATTTGATAATCCAGCACCCTTGTTTATCCAGCAGAAAATGCCGTTGCAAAAGGTGCCGGATTAGAGAGGGACGACTGTAGTTCATTATTATTATTCACCCAGTTTTAGGGGTCACCTGTATACATGTAACATGCTTGAATTTTTCCAAAGCCAAATTTTGCAATTAATCTTTTAATGCTTCCCTTCCACTGGCAAACACACATGAATCCTGGCTACTATGAAATTTTGCAATTAATCTTTTAATGCTTCCCTTCCACTGGCAAACACACATGAATCCTGGCTACTACGAAATTTTGCAATTAATCTTTTAATGCTTCCCTTCCACTGGCAAACACACATGAATCCTGGCTACTACGAAATTTTGCAATTAATCTTTTAATGCTTCCCTTCCACTGGCAAACACACATGAATCCTGGCTACTGCGTCAGTATATTGTCTGTAGCACAGTGATATTGTTTTCGACCCATTGATGAAGGACGTAGGTCAAGAATTACATGTATTAATAATTATACAGTATTACACGCCCTCTTTTTTGTTGTTGGGGGTTAAATGCTCAGCTGTCTACCAGTGATATTTGAAATCAGTTTGCTCTGTAGGGTTGCTTTTTTTCTTCTGTTTCATTCCTTGCCCGTTTTTTGTTTTGTTCATGCTCTCCATGGTGACATGCATATGACAGTGGCACATCTCGACAGACCGCAGCTGGGTGTGCGAGGGAGTTGTATGCTGACAACGGACTAAGGAGTTTTTATCGGGGCTTGACTGCATCCTATGCTGGTGTGTGCGAGACCGCATTTTACTTTGTCATGTACGAGCACCTGAAGAAGCGCAAGCGGCTACAGAATGGCAGTGAAGACAGCGACCTTTGTAAGTACCCACCTTGTGTTTCCCTCTTCATCAACATATTTTCGTGCCAAATTTGTCCCCTTATTTCAATAGGGCACAGCTGATGTCTTCACGTTAAAAATAAAAAAGAACATCTGCAAGCAGAGGTGTTTGTAGTGCTATTGCGTAGTCCTATTCTGAAACTCTGCATGACTCTGTTGGTATATGTGCTGCTTTGTGCTTTCTTCTCTCAGCTGCCTCTCAGTTGATCCAGTGCACTGTTATGGCGAAGTCGGTAGCCGCTGTAATGGCCTATCCACACGGTATGTGCAGCATTGGGTACTTGAGTTTACATGTATGTGCTTTTATCACCATCGTATATCATGTGAGGAAACTGATGGCAAGTGCCCATCATTATTATGGATAGTAAATTGTAAATACGGCACACTGCTCGCTGTGTATCGTTTATTTCTTATAGGGTTTTGTTATGAAACGTATTAGACAAGGTGTGTCACCTAATCACCCACATTCTAGAGGATGGCTTGTCGTTATGGTGGCGTCGTGTATGTATAGAATGCTTTGTGATACTGCTACTGTTGCATTCACCGGTTTCCTTTCTTTGCCTTTGCCGTCCTCATACTTGTGCAGAGGTAGTCAGGACACGTCTGCGTATCGAAGTAGGAAAGAATCGCAAGTAAGTCTTCTTGCCATATTGGTGCCATCATTCATATTCTTCTCACGTCAATCGCTTGCTTTATAATTGGAGTGATCTCGTCGTGACACCAGTACTCAGGCTGTGTTTAAACTTAAAATGTGAGTTTTCAAACTAGCATATACTCAGATTGACTGGATCATTTATATCATGACTTGCACTTCACCCAGGCTGAAAGCTCAACCAGCACCTAAGAGAATGTTGAAATCTTATACAATCATGTAGTTTATTACACCATACTCGCACGCAAATGAGTTGTGTTGTAAACACAGCTCAACGTGTTGACAACACTGGATTTTATTGAGCACTGCTGTCGCTCTCTTTTTCGCTGTGTGTGTTTGTGTGCTGGATAGGTACCGGAAATTTTTCCAGACACTGTTTGTTGTTTGGAAGGAAGAGCGAGCAGCTGGGCTGTATGGTGGTCTCTCAGCGCATCTGTGTCGCGTTGTTCCCAACACTGCGATAATGTTCCTGGTCTATGAACATGCGGTCCGGTGGTTGGGAGCAGAATAAGACTGGATAGTTGACCATGTTGCCCTGCAGGCCCTGTTAACCCTGTTAACCCTCACTAACCACTGCACATGATCTGTACTCTCGCTGCTGCCACGTAGTTGTGTGTGTGTGTGTGTGCGTGTGTGTGCGTGTGTGTCTCTTTCTCTCTTGGCATTTATGCATGTGAATATGTGCCGTGTGTTCTGTCTTGTCTTCTCTATAGCTTGTCTCTGTGTTTATTCAGATGTACACAAATATCACACATTCTCTCTAGGCATCATCACTGCTGGTTTTCAGTGTGCATGCTATTCTTCTTTTCATCAAACATTCTGGACAACTATTTATCCTACTACTGGCCTCAGCACGTCTCTGTTTTCAAATCTGTTGACAGAGAGTGCCATTGATAGGAATATCATTTATCTCCATGTCTGCGGCATGGTTTGGTTGTCACTGTCCTCTTTTTTTCTTCTTCTTTTTTTGCTTGTATTCTGGTGCTTTGTAGAGCGCACAGAGAGGGCATGGCTGGACCAGTGCTCTCTCCCTCTCTTTCTTTTGTTTGTTTGACAGACTGTTGCCTCTCTGCTTTAGCTCGTGCATTTTGGAGATATGCTGCTGTATAGCTCAGCGGTTTCTGTTAGCCGTTATCTGTATGCTTGAGTCTATGCTAATACAATCATGCACTGTATAATGTTTTGTTTGTCTGTCGGCGCGATTTGCCCCGGTTCATTATCGATTATGATCTAACAGCAGTATACACTGCTGCGCTGTTTAGTCACCTACACCTGTGCTTGTGGTTACAATTATTGGTTTCAATGGTGTGCTCTCAGATGGTCAATCGCCTTGTGTTGTGGACAATCATCGTGACGTATACAGCGCATACAATGTAGGCTGTTGTGCTGTATGTCACGTGGATTCTTATGCGGGTCATGCGCTTTATAATCATTGCTGTCGATTTGTATGCTGGTGTCGAGTTTCCCGCGTCCGTAGGAGCGCCACCACCCTCTATGGATCAAGACGCACTAAAATCATGTCTCTAAATGCCCGTGAGTCCAGTCGGCATGCACGCGCAAATTAGTGCCTTCAACCGACAAGTCATCATCCTTCAAAGCCATGCAGTGTGTAATGTTTAGGGCTGATCCGATAACATTCATCTAGCTAGCTTCCTTGCATGCATGGTCATATCGCGGGTGTGCGACACGAGATATACACCACATTGTCCGCAACGTTATTTTCATCAGGTCGTGCATGCAGTGTTCCATAGGCCCGTAACCAAGAATGTGATAATCAGGGAGACGCGGGACTACCTGATTAAAGGTATAGTATTATTTATTACGCCACTCGCTGCTCATCTGCATCCACTGCTGTAATCCAGGAAATATGCTGTATCAGATCTCCATGCAGAAGCTACATTTGAACAGGTCACAAATTTCCTTTAGCAGAGGCGAATGACTGCATGACTGTTCAATTTATGTTGCAGGAAATATGCTGTATCAGATCTCCATGCAGAAGCTACATTTGAACAGGTCACAAATTTCCTTTAGCAGAGGCAAAGGACTGCATGACTGTTCAATTTATGTTTTATGTTCCGTAGCAGCAAAGAGTCCCTAACCCGACTAATGGCTAGAAAAAAGTGATACAGTTGTCGATTCTGTGCAGCATACACCACAGTGACCACACGCATCCCGGGTGTACCGCACGCATTCCGGTAAATCCATTGGAAAGATCTAGACCGGATCATTTTATACTTCTCTCTAGGTATTAAGGAAACTAGGACAGTTCCAACAAATTGGTAAACTAAAAGAGCTACAAACACTAACAATGATTAAAAAAAGGCCCAAAGTCTATGCTTGGGTGTGTTGCTAGCTGACTACATCAGTGCAGGAGCTACAACTTTAGGTCTGTGTCTGTACAATAACATGATGACAAAAACCTAATGGTGACAGAAATAAAAAAAAGAAGAAGATAAATTATAGATGTGAGGAGGACACACAGCACACAAGCAGCGCTCAAAACATGTACAACTGTGTGTGTGTGGATCGGGTTAAAAAGAATTTGAAGATAAAAAAATAATCGAATACAATCAATCTCTCAATGGCTGAACACAGTAGATAAGACAGTACGGAAAACATTGTTGGACTAGGTGTCGCATGGTAGCATAGATACACACACACACACACACACACACACACACACACACACACACACACACACACGCACACATACACACACATACGCACACACACACACGCACACCACACACCACACACACACACCACACACACACCCACACACACCACACACACCACACACACACAGGAACAACCTACCAGTGTTTGGTTGTGCGCAGTAACATCCCCAAGACGTTTCAGATATTGGCCTCTGGCGCTGTATTGGCCTTATATGCCCGGATGCATAACTTGGCCAGACGTACATCGAGATTACACACGACCGTCAACTGCACGTTTGCAGGAGTGGAATCCTTTGGCACACAGCGCTCAGTCCACCAGCATAAATCCTGTTCAGTGTGTCTAGGCTGGTGTCTGTGGTAGTGTTACTATCCACAATTGGCTTCTGAGAAGACGAATCGCATCAACACCGGCAACTGCTCGACTGTTGCTCGGCCGTCAGGTCCGGTAGGGACAGCTTACGGCGCAGCTGCTTCTCCATCGACGCCATGACGATCTCAATTAGTGCGTTAAAGGCTGCATCGACGCCGGATCCGGTGCGTGCGCTTGTTTGAATAAACGTCATATCGTTGTCGTCTGCCCACTTCTGCACCTCGGCAAGGTCGACCATGTCTTCAGATGAATCGTGCAGGTCGTGCAAGTCCACCTTGTTGCCCACCTGCACAGACAAAACGACATCACAACAGGACAAATGTACATCAGTAACACAACCCCCAAGAGTGTGCAACTGACTGCACAACTCAACTCTATGCAGTGCTGCGACGGCAGAACTTCACATCATGGGACATGGTTCGAACCAGGGAGCAGCCTCCCTGGTTCGAAAGGATATGCTGGCAAACAGTTCAAAGTGACCCCAAGAGAGTTGAACCAAGAGTACATAACCCCCTCCCCCCCCCCCCCCCCAGAGTGTGCAACTCCACTATGGGTGCTGTCCCGACAGAATTTCAAGTTGACGTCATTTTGATGATGCAATGCGCACAGTACCAGGGCCTGCTGGAGAGCCGGGTCAGCCGGGTCACGCGCCCGGCTGGGGAACTGCACGACCTGGCTGAACAGATAACACCGGGTCCAGTCTGACCCGGCTGAAAAATGTCTCAAACTGACAATGGATTCCTAAAATACGGGTGTTTTACGACTCGCGGACCCCATCTGTTGCAAATCTAGCGCAACCGTACACCATGGTAGATCTACACACTACAGTCTACAGTCTACAAGCGACAGAAACTCGGCTAGGGTCAACTGGTTCGAGCGCGATCTGGCCAGCGGCGAGCAGGAAGTCAGGACATTCAAAGTCGATGAGGCAGGCAGTCAAAAGCGTAACTTTGGCTATAGCTTTTGACACAGTGGCAAGTTTTCAGCCGATTGGTGATTTGGACGATGGAGCCCGCAGCGAAGAGAAAAAGAACTCACGCTTTCCAAGACTCTTGGAAGAAAGGTCGACCCTGGCTGGACTACGACCATGCCAGTCTACTAGTATCCATGTCATGCGCTTTGTGCAAGACGCATTTCCAAAGAAAGACGAGCGGCGGTGGATTTGGTCGCGAGGAAGCAGCCACTCCACAAGGTGCTGCAGGCACCCCCCAGTGCTCTAATATGTGAACATGTTCGTCCTGCTAGGCTGCTACTACTTAGTACTAGTACTAGTACTAATTAGTAATTGGAAAACAGAATTCCTTTTTTTCAAATTGTTAAATCAGAATCCAATGGAACTGCTTTGCATTCTTCACGTAATGTCGTTTACCTTCTACGTTTGCGGACTTTGATCGTTCGCCTTGTTCTCTAAAATGTCCGATTTCCGGCACTAAATTCGCCTTTCTGTTTTCCTGCGTTTTAAGCAGGCCTTTTGGTTGTTTTTCTGCCGGATAATCTGACCCGGCTGGCCTGCATGCGCCAGGTACACTCTGACCGGGCTGTGTTGAATGTCTAGAGCAGGCCCTGAGTACACGGATTATCAGACGAATCCGGAACCTGTGGTTGACCGAAGCCGATCGATCCTGTACAAATTATTGGAAAGAAAAACGTGTGATGCGTTGACACCCGTACACATGTTGTAAATCACTGGGGCAAGGAGCATTGCGTCATAAATAATGACGTCAACTTGAAATTCTGACGGGACAGCAGGGTATGTGGGAGTTGCACACTCTGGGGGGTTATGTACTCTTGGTTGAACCCAAAGCAAGGTTGCGTACAAACCTGTATCCATCATACACAGGCCAGGGTGCAACAATGTGTACGGGTTCGGTACGTGATGTGATGTTCTACTGTTCCAGACCTCATAGATAGAGTTGCACACTCTTGCGCAAGACAACAACACATTGCAAGCCGCCGGCAGTCATGCGTGCTAGCTGACCAGAGGACTGCACCGGGCTGTAGGACAATCTCTCATACAACTACGGCAATTTCCAGTTGAACGAGATGTTAGTAATGGTTTTGGTGCGGTGTGCATGGTTAAAATAAGAGTATCCAGATAATTATTGGCATGTACACACTGTTTTCTGATGATCGCTTACTGCGTGAAACTCCGAGTAAAAACTTTTTTGTCCTCTTATTATTGTTTAAACTAGCTCTGCCTCTCGGCATTGAGCACTCTCTTGGACAGCCTGGAACCTCTCTGTTTTGAATGTACACGTATCCAGATTCCACCTGTATTCTTGCAGTCTATCATTGCCTCGCAAGCATGATCACTTGTCTGCATCAAAGTACAGGTGGAATTCTGATAATTCGAACCTCAAAATGCCAGGAAAAAACTTCTAATTATCCGGACATTCTAATTATCCAAACATGAACCCACAATACAATATGTATGTCAAAATGCTCTCATGGTCACGCAGAGTTGCGCTATGGACCTTAGACACAGATTTCGCAGATACTGAACTGACCGGCACAGCCTGCTCATGCAAACTGAACTGACCAGTACAATGTACAGTGAACTTCGAATTACACTTTGCTAACTTCGAATTATCAGCACAAATCCCACACAAAGTGGAATCTGTGGGACTTCGAATTAAGCGGACATATCCAGTTTGAGGTTCGAATTATCAGAAAGGTTTATGTGGGACTCTCGTTCCTAATACGATTCGGGAACACAATGCCGATTAGCGCCCGCAGCTGTTTTCGGTGGAAGGCCTCAATACGGCTCAGCTGCTGTTTCGTTGGTGCCCATGTTGCACAATTGTAGCAGAGTACAGGGAGTACAAAGGCATTATAGAGCCGGATGCGGAGATCCTCCGAAACTAGCGACCTACGGATCCACAGCGTCCAGAGTTTACCAAAGGCAACAGTTGCCAGTTGCTGTCGCCGTAGCATATCCTCGGCATCACCTAATAGGGAGGCTCTATGAGCGTACCGGCGCGGTTCCTCTCGGCATTATCATCTTGAGAGCTAGGTGGAGGCTCTTTGGGCACGTCCTCCGGCTCCCGGCTGACTCCCCACCATCACTGGCCATGGGAGCGTACTTTGCAGAGCCTCGTCCAGCGGGCTGGAGGGGACGACCAAGACACACACTACCAACGCTACTACAAGATGATGCCAAGCGGATTGGACTTTCCTTGTCAAGCAAAGTCGATCTGGAGGCGTTCCGTGCCCTTGCTGCTGACCGAAGCGGTTGGGTGGGCATCTGTGCCCGAGTGGTGTCGGCACCCTAGTTTTTGTCTTCTGTTCGCATATTTCTTCTTTTTCTGAAACTGTTATGGTCTTTTGTATCTATTCGAAATGGCTTATGCGAACATTTTTGGCTGGTTTGCATGATTTGCATGCCCATTAATGCAGCTGCAGGCCATGCTGATGTCTACGCAAACAAGCACATAATAATAATATTATGTGGGACTCGTATTGATCGAAATTGGTCCTGGAAAAACTTCTAAGTTAATTAAGCGGTATGTTCGAATTATCAGGATTCCACCTGTATTCGATATGCTAGGTCAGATGGTATTCTGATAGCTACAGCAGGACTGAAGCACTGTATGTAGTGGCATTAATTTGCCGTTAAATTTCTGCATGACTAGATAGCTCAGGAGTCAGGAGCTTCGTGCTTACCAGTATAACGTCAGGATCGTCTGTGATTGAGGCTACATTCTCTCGCAGCGTGGTGAGCCAGTCGCGGATATTCATGAACGTTTTCTCATTCGTCACGTCGAAGACCATCATGTAGCCATATGCATTGCGATAGATGGAGCTGGTTACAGAGCGAAATCTAAATGCAGTGTACATGGGGAAATCACAGGGATCAATTATCTTCTTCTGTAATGCTGAGATCCATGCTGGAAAGCTCATCAGGCAGGTTCGGCTTGTCGTGTGATATGAGATAATTCTTGATGCGCAGGCACTTAGTAAATGCAGTAAACAGCACAGCACTGTACACCAGCCAAGGAGCAATCACACGAAATAAGCAACAAGAAACGGCCAAACGGCCTCATTTGATACACATTGATGTACATCACAGTTAGCTGGGCTTTGTCTCGTGCAAGCGAGCGTGTTCGAAATGCGCAAATGAAATGAACACAGTAGTACAAATCGTTTTGGGCAGGAATCGGAGGCTTCACTCTCCAAAGAGAAGGCAGCATTGCCTGTGCCCATAACGCAGTAAAATAAAAGAATACAACAACAATTTCTTGTTGAATAAAAACAACAACAACAACAACAACAACAACAACAACAACAACAACAACAACAACAACAACAACAACAGCTATCGTGAGAATAAAGATTTGAACAACAATCTCTTATTGGCCACCGGCTATCGTGAGAATAAAGATTAGAAGCAACAACAACAACAACAACAACAACAACAACAACAACAACAACAACAACAACAACAACAACAACAACAACAACAACAACAACAACTACGTCTTGCACATCTTTACTTCAAGTCGCTCCGGCATGAGGCACTCACCTTTCCTGTCCTGACGTGTCCCAGAGTTGCAAGTTGATGCGACTGCCCCGCCGGGTGACCTGAATACACCAACAAACATAGCCAAACAAATCAAAGTACAGGTAGAATCTGTCGTGTTTGACCAGTACAACAACACCACCACCAACACATAACGCATTGACAATTAATTTGGCATTGGTTGATGTTGGTGGTAGGAATGCGGCTGGACATACACCTGACACAAAATACAGTGATGTACAGGTGGAATCCTGATAATTCGAATATGGCTTAGTTTGAACATACCGCTTAATTAGAAGTTTCTTCCAGGATCGATTTCCATCAAAACGATTCCCACATAACCATGCCTGATAGTTCGAACCTCGAACTGGGCATGTCCGGTTAATTAGAAGTTCCACGGAATCCACTTTAATACATAGAAAACATGTGAGATTTGTGCCGATAATTCGAAGTTAGCAAAGCGTAATTCGAAGTTGACTGTACAGTATAAAGTCAGTTCAGCGTGCATGAGTAGGCTGTACTGGTCGGTTTAGTGTCTGCGAAATCCGTGTCTCTAAGGTGCGTAGCGCAACTCTGCGTGACAATGCGAGCATTTCGACGCACATAATGTGTTGCGGGTACAAGTTTGGATATTTGGAATGTCTGGATAATTAGAAGTTTTTTCCTGGCAACTTGGGGTTCGAAGTATCAGAATTCCACCTGTACTAGTAATGGGAACTGGTCCAGGGCGCTGGTTTTGGTCCAGGGCGCTGGTTTTGCACTTTGGGTTGGATTTCACTGAGAACTACTGTAGTAGTAGCAACTGTAGTAGATTTCAGCCATCTTGGTACGAGAAAACAGTTCAAAACACTGTATATCTAGTAATTTTCTATTGTCCTGGGCTGCTTCACAGACTTGCAGAATCCAGATAGATGGGAACCGCTTCAAGTGGACCTCGGCCTACCCCCCCCCCCCCCCACCCACCATGAATGCAGACTGAATTCTGGGTTTTTTTAATTTTTTTTACTATGTTCACATAACCAGCTCGAAAAGAATAAGGAAGACAATGGTACGGATTGCGGGATGTTAGTACAGTTCTACCCGCTGATGGCAAGCAGCAGTACACACCACCGGGCCACTGCGTACAGTCAAGGCACTCAATCTGGCAACACTGCACTGCCTTCAAGTCTACCTCCTGATTCTGTAAAAACTATTGCAAAGAAAACGTGTGATGCGTTGACATCCCGTACAAATGTTGTAAATCACTGGTGCACAGAGTATTGCATCATAAGAATGACGTCAACTTGAAATTCTGTCGGGACAGCAGGGTATGCGGGAGTTGCACACTCTTGGGGGTTATGTACTCCTGCAGTCTTGGTACCGCGAGAGCGCCCCCACCACCTCGTCCTTTTATGGACGTGTCGTGGAGGTGGTGACCTGTCTGCAGCTAGTGTAGGTCATACAACACATACTGTACACACATTGCACGTCGTGCAGTCAATTCGTACTCAGTTTACCTTCGAGTAGGTGAGTGCAGTGTCAGGAAAACTGTTTGCCAGGGGTGGGCAAGTATGAGCATTCACAATGTCACTTGCATAAGCCTTACTCCAGAGATCTCCAATGTCATTGTGTGTTTTTGCTCCCAATTCCCATTCATACTATCATGGTTCATGCCAAAGCGGGTAGGGGGCGCAGCCCCCCCCCCCCCCCCCCCGACCTACCATGATAGGGCACCCCCTATTCATTTTTCGACAATGGTGTCTTTTCAGATCAAACCAAAAAATGTGGCCACAAATTGATCGCTTTGGGTGCCCATATGTAGCATTTTGTGTGACAAGGCAATATTGGACAGTAGAAAAAATGGGTTGACTGCTTGCCCACCCCCCACACACACACACTATTTCTCCTGGCTAAAACCCGGAATAATGTACATAAGGTATTATTAATGGTATACAATACTCACTCGTCGCTCGAAGAAATCGAGGCCAATAGTTGTTCCGATGTTGGCATCAAACGCACCATTTACAAATCGTGATAGTAGCGATGTTTTCCCAACTCCGCTGTCGCCCAGTGCCAGCAGCTTTATCAAGTAATCATAGTCTCCGGTGGTCTGGGATGACAGGGCGGCGTTGGGAGCACGCTTGATCTCTTCTCGCCTGTTGTCCTCGCGTCTGATTTCTTCCATAACAGCTGCCAACTCACGTCGATGCGTATGCAATGAAGGACAAAACTGGCATATACTGCTAAACTTGGCGTACAAGCAATGCAGTCGGGTGTGCTAGAGTTTTCTCCTCAGCTCAGCGAACTCAGCTTTGCAATCCTTCCCAGGAAGTTCCAAGCATCCACGCCAGTTTCCGACAGCCTAAAGCAACCTACGGTAGTCCATTACATTCGAAAGGACTGCGAATGTGTTATAGCGTGATGACGCTCAATAAACATCAACTGTTTTGGGTTTGCAAAGTGGTATGTTCAGCAGGCAAGTCTACATGACATTTGTACTAGTCTAGTACAAGTAACAGTTACTTCGTACCGTCGCACGTGTCCGCATTCCAGATTTCCGATTCAAACTACAGCACAGGAGTCAGGACCGTACCGACACTCACCATGTATCTCAATGAACGACAGCAGTGCTGTTCAGTAGCCTGAGTAGGTCTTCCTGAACACTTATTTTGCTAAAGCAAGAAAGAAGGAGCCTTTCACTGTTTCAGTTTGTAAAACTGGTCACCTTTTTGGCGTTATATTCCGTGCTATTTATGTCATCTTCCGTCTCTTCCCGGGAATTAATACCGTATACTGCACTGCCAGTATATCTACACGTGCATGCAGTGGCGCACCGTATCATGAGCCACGTGGGCGGACCGGGACTGTCAAAACGACAACGAACCTGCACCCGGAGGCCGGAGCTCAAGCATGCACTCATATTCATGTTGTTGAAGCAGATCGACGCGACTCGATCATGAAACTGTTCTGAGTGTTCAGTGTGTTGGTGGCAGTGTATCTGGCAAAATAGGTTCCGGCCGGTTGACGGCTGAAGCCGGGCCAAGTGTCAATGAAAGATCAAAAGAGTACATCACCAGATCTCTGCCATGGACTTCCCGGCGATGGTCTTGGATAAGGAGCCACATACAGTCATGTAGCTCAGTGTTCTGGATACTTCAACTGAGGCGGAAAGAATACCTAACCTTTTCCTTTGCCAAAACAATCAAAACACGGATAGATACACCACTACTACAAAGTAGTGCACTGTTATGACTTATGTAGTGTACACATGTACATAGAGTCCATAACCCCATCATGGACTCTTGATACAGTCACAAAGATGTACAACAACTACCGCCAGTACCGGTATACCAGGCCAGGGAGTATAATTAAAATAAAAATATTATATAGCCTCTTGTACGGGCAAGAACAAAGTAATACAGCTAGCGTGTGTTGAAGAAGAAAATGAGCGGAAACGTACTATGCTGTGAAACACGCATGAGGCATGATCAGGGCAAATGACAGCTGAAAAGAAAAGGAAAGAAAACAAACACACACACACACACACACACACACACACACACACACACACAACAACAACAACAACAAGTGCCATACGCATGAATGTTAACGGCCAACGCCAAGGCCGACACCATCGCAAATTGCCAGCCCACCGAGACGACGACGTGAACCCCGGAGACGAAGGTCGACAGCCCGGAAAACAGAAAACTAGGGAGGTTTAGTTCCCACGTAACGGAAACGCGTACGTGGGTGATCCACGTAAAGTGGATGAAGGGCAAACACGTTGCAATGTTGTGTTTAGTCACACGGAACAAACAAAAGCATGAAGCGAAAGGCCCAAATCTGGTCAAAGACGAAGCTACCCGAGCCTAAGAAGCTCATCCAGTATTTTGATTTCGTACTTCGGAAACTTCTTCAGCTGAGCACCCTCACAGCTTGCACAATGCACTCCATTCTGATTTTCACCCACGTTCTGGCGGAACGTGGGTGAGCCTCCATACACGGTATGTCGTGAATCAGAAAACGTCTGTACGTGGGTCACTGAGTATCACGTGGTACACACACGTAAAGTACCCACGGATTACGTGGGACTAAACCTCCCTACTGATGGTGGATCCGCACCCAGAGCATGACGTTGCTGTAGTGTAGGACTTGTCCCACCTGGAGGCAAGGCGCATAGCAAGTCGCCGTTGATACGCACGGTACTCTGTGTGCAGTGCACCATCAGTTGAGCAGACCAGCGGGGTGAAGGATGCTCGCAGCTCCTCTGCGGCCGCCTTGTACTTTCTCTTCTTGGAAGAGGCAGCAATAGGGAGGTTCTGCTCTACGTTTTGGGAACGCGACGCAAAGAATCACGCGAACTTTCTTCGCGTTCCCGTAACCATGGTAACGTAAAGAAATGCTGTTCTGCTCTACGTTTCACCAAGAGTACATGGGTTATGTACTCTTGGTTTCACCAAGAGCATAACCCCCTGGTTTCACCTAGAGAAGTCACGTGGAATGTGTACTGGGAATTTCCCCTTCCATATTTGGCAGTTTTCTGCATGCAGTTGATCGATACCCAGCAAATCCGTACGCATTTTCTCTGCGTGTGCCACGGCCACAACGTAGAGAACTTTTTTCTTTCTTTTTTTGGGACCAAAATCAGTATTTTATTGAAACAAAGAAAAATGATGGCACCTACCAAGAGTACATTATGTACTCTTGCACCTACATGTATGTACAGGGGATGGCCCACGCCTGGTATAAAGTAAACGTAAAAGAGAAAAAAGTAGTACAGTGAAATCGATAACAATAGTTCAGTTCCCACACAATACCGCTCCTGAGCCGGATCAGACCACAATCCTAGCCTCGGCAACCACCAGTGCGGCAGAAGCAGAGACAAGGCGGTGGCAGTGGATCGGTCGGCGGGCACCCTGAAGACAGGCAACACTTGCACGCAGGAGGGCGAAGCTCAGCCGGGCACGAATCCAGGCCATGACAGAGGAGTAGGTTTCACGAGTCTTCTCGGACAACATGGAGGCAATGCGCTTGTAAAGAGAAATAGCTGAATTGCCCATGCCACCATGTGCCGAGAAAACCACAGCCCGCTCAACGTGCTGAACCCTTTCTCCGTAGGCCCGGCGCTTCTCACGTTCGTGTCGCTTGTACTTGTAGCAGGATGCCGCAGATGATGAGCGATTTGATGGAGCGTGCGGGTTGAAGACCCGGACGTCCAGGTAGCTCCGTTCAAACCGGCCGCCATAGATACCGCTCGCGACAACATCCAGCCGACCCAGGTCATCCCCGGCACAGCTGTGCGATAGCGCAAGTTCTCCCCGGTCAAGGGCTGGAGGGTTGGCTCCACGTTGACGTCATGCGCCACACGACCGAGCAGCTGCGCCGTGAGATCCCTCACCTCATTGTACCGCATGATGATGAAGCCGCCCGTAGCGCAGGAGAGAGCATGTGCAACAGTGAACGTTGCACCACACGAGCAGGTTGATGGCAGTCGGTCCGGGTGCCACCCATAGCGAAGCGCCAGCCCATCACGAAACTGGGCCTTGGACAGGGTAAAGCCATGACGTGCTAGTGGGCGGCATGTAAGCCAGCTTGAGGCTCCTTTCTCGCTGCCAAGCTCCATGGCACGCTTGACTGGGGGAGATGCATCATTTGCGAGCTCCATGGCACGGTGGGCCACCGACCTTCGCTGCTTACGCCGTACCTCACCTTTGCGGTCCCTGACCTCAGCCAATGACTCTCCCAGGATACCAGCCTGAGTGTTCATTTGATGGACTAGCGCAGTAGTGATGTGCCGAGAAGCCGAGTACTGACTGGAGAGAGATGTAGGATCCGCCAGGCCAAGACCACCATGGCGACAAGGAAACCCAATGAGGCTGCGGTATTCTTGGTCGATGTGTTGGCCAGTCAGCACTGGGATCAGCTCTGTAGCGATGTGACATTCCAGGGGTCCCAGCTGTTCAGCCGCCCCAGCTAGTGTTCGACAGATGAAGGTCCACTTGTGCTGAAGGCCTCTGGTGAAGGCACTGTATGCTGCCTGAGGTTGCGTGCGTGCATACTCTGTGAGGATAGCTACCTCAGCAAGTGTGAGGATAGCTACCTCAGCAAGCCATTCCTCACACTTCTTCTGGACAAAGTGCTGGCAGTACTCCGGTGTGCCGATGGCAGCGCCAAGGTATCTATGGCCTTCACCGGTGATGCGGATCCCTGAGCCGGCGAACACTCTTCGAGCTTCATCCAGACACTCAGGTTTGACTACGAGGACTGACTTTGAGGGATTGGCTTGATAGCCAAAAGCTGGGCCCCGTTCCAGGAGACGATCCCACCATACCTTCAATCGCACCATCTTGCCGCCAGCAGATGAATCATCAGCATACCAATGTTGGCATGCCCCATCAGTAGCCACGGACGTGATCAAGGGGAGGATGCCGATGGCATAAATTGGCATAGCCAGCGGGTCACCCTGCGTGGTTCCCTCCCTTGACTGAATGGTTTCTCCCCCAACATGCAAGTTAGTTGGCGGGGCTGCGGTAGCAGTTGATGACAATCGTTGCTAGGGCTGGGCATGACAGGCGGATGTTGTGGATACATGCAGCACGGTTGAGGCTGTTAAAGGCGTTACTGGCGTCAGCCATCAGCACACCGTCGACATCCGGGGAGTTGTATACATCCGTCATGGCGTGAATGGTGGCCTCAATGCCACAGTCTTGGCCTGCGCAAAGTTGTTGGCTACCTGCTGCTTCCTGGATATCATTTCCAATGATTGACAGGATTGCTTTTCCAATCACACGACGGATCACCTCGCCAATTCCAATGGGTCTGACCCCTGGGTTTTTGGCCAGGGGCACAAGCCGAGATGCAAGATAGGCCTCTACAAGAGAGGAGGGGTTGACATACTTTGTTGCTAGGCGGCGTGCACAGCAAGCTAGAGAATCACACAGGGCATCCGAAGCATCCGCAAAGCTGGTGCATAGCGAGTGCCATGTGGCAGCGTCCACTCCTGATGGCCCCGCAGCTCCATTTGTGTGCAGAACTGCCTGGCGTATGGCATCTCGGTTCAACTTCTCAAATCTAACTGGGTGGGGTGACGTGGGGAAGGGTCCTTGCATCAGGGCTTCGTGGCTCAAGGGGGCTGCCTCAGGATGCTTTGCCTCGAGGACCTGTCGAACTGTTTCCTCGGAAATCTGATCGTCAAGCTTGAGAAGACCACCCTCGGCAACGTAGAGAACCCCATCTCCGCGTAGAAATCTGGAGCCAAAACACGCGAAGCCGTAGACTCTAACCCAGACACCTGCTCTCTACATGATTTCTCTACGTTTCACGTATAGCAGAACCAGGGAGTCGTCAAATACCATAATGTATTTGACGACTCCCTGAGCAGAACCTCCCTACTGAGTACGTACTGTTGGATACGGCGTTCCAAGAGAGGTTCGAGCGGACGTAGCTGGGTGCGTCGGCATCCACGATGCGGTTGTCAAAGTACGCCACCCTGTCTCCTTCCCAAACTCCCCGGACCAGCCAATCCGCCTGCAGTGTGGGACGGTTGTTGCCATCCTGCACAGGTACCATCACCGGCTCGACAGCCACACCTCCCCATGCAACGTCTGCCAGCCGGGCATCGAAGTCGCGGATATCGTTGTGCCCGCGCTTGATGAGCCCACCCTTCATGCAATCCAGACCATGCTGTACGTAGGGAGAAAGCAGCTCCACAGCCATCGCAATGCGACGGGAGAGCGTTCGGCTCCTGGCCATAGCGAATGGCCAAC